GACATTGACCTCGCAACTTTTGAAGCTGCAGCGTGTGCTTTGGCGAAGCAGTCTTCGGCCACACATAGCAACAGTGGCAGCGTTTCGACATGGCCGGCTCTTTGCGTTGAAGCAGATGATTTCGCGACAGAAGGGGGCCGTCCTGGACCCCGTGGTGTAGCCATTTTGGTAGATGTCGCTTGAGGTTGTAGGCGCCTCTCGTCTGATCTATGGCTGTTCTGATGGGAGATCGGCTGATGCAACTGTTGTGTCTGTAGATGCGGGGAGTTCTGAGGTTGTGAAGGTTGAGGGCGTGGTTGTTGTCGTTCCTGTTGTTGGTGATGCTGATTCTGTGTGTGTCGCTGCTGCTGCTGTTGGTGTTGCTGCTGCTGTTGGTCATGGTGATTTGTTGTCTGCTGAATCTGTTGCGGTGGTATTTGCTGATTGTGCCGTGAAATTTGAGGCAGAGGTAGCTGAGGACTTGACACGGTCATCGGTTGAGGCGCTGGTAGGATACGGTTTGTTTGTATAGGCGGAACATATTGCTTTTGGAGGAAGGACGGATCGACGAATTGAACGGGCGCCGTCGTCGTTTGCGGGGTGTGAGCGAACGACGTGGTAGGATTAGAGCTATAAGTCGACAAGTTGACAGGATTATTGGGATAAAACATCGGTTGAGCCTGGGGGTAGGCTGACTGCGCGTACGGGACCTGTGATTGCTGAGTTTGTTGAGGTTGTTGAAGATACTGGGGTTGCCCATTCTGGTAGCCATTCACGTAGTGCTGCTGGTGGTGCTGCTGGTGGTGCTGCTGCTGATGGTGATATCCGGCAAGGGGCTGAAAGGGTTGTTGAGCCTGCTGCTGTTGTTGCTGGTTCTGATTCTGTTGAGGATAACTGCCGTATGGCTGCCCCGGGGGCATCGCATCGTGATATGTCATGGCATTTGTCAATTGGAGAGCGGTCTTATGTCTTCGTGTCGCGGCGGCCGTAAATACGTTCGTGCATCGGCGGTAGGACTGCGCGCTATTGGTGTCGGGATACTCAGATATTTGGCAAATGTGACAGATGACGGTCGCTAGGAACGTAACATGGTCAATGTTTGTAAGGAAAGGGTTTGACAGAGGCGACGGAAGTTTTCAAATTCCCATTGTGATGTTGGCAGGAAGAAGAGCAGCAGCTTGCTTGATGTCTGCGTGGTTGCTATTGCCGTGTCCGACTGTTAGCGCGCTGCCGCCGCGGCAAGGACAGTGCGTCCACCGACGCTGTCCTTCAGCTGATTGGCGTCCGATGACGGGTACCTCTATGTGGCCCACAATAGCAGGCAGGGCAGGCATCCAGAATCCGCATTTGCTTGGCTGCAGGTCCGACGGGAAGACAGCAGGGGACAGGAACCGACTGGATGAGATGGACAAGGAATGGAAGGGTTCGTTTTCCACTCGTACCACTGTCATCCCGATTGTTCGGGGCCCATCAGGGCGTGATGCTGTGGAGAAACGAAGATGGAACCGGACTAGACTTTTGAACCTTGGGAGCTCTCCCGCTCCTGGGGCTGAAAAGGGAAGAGTCAATATGCCGAGGAGTCTAGAGACGCGATATTTTGCGTTGAAGGTTGAGCCTAAAGGTAACATTAGGTAGAGTTCAAGGCCCCGATTCGTTGTCATCGTCATCATCATCGTGATAACGGATACCCAGACCTATAGGGGGGCAGCGCCAGGTCAAGAACCGCCAAAAGATTGACTTTGCCTTCACCTCTTTATACCTCGGCACTTTGAAGTCGATTAAAAAGGAGTCTGTCTGTCTTTCTTGGCTCTCCCACACATCCTTAATCTTTTGATATCTTCCATTCTTTTAACATAGTCTCTTATCTTTTATCCTCTTCACAATTTCCTCTTCAACATTTCTACGAGTTGGCCGGATCAACGGTCGTTTAGGCGCAATCATGGACTGGTTCGGTCGTGCCAAGATCTCTTTCACCCACCACGCATCACCACTTACACTCCAGCAGAAGGATGGTACTACAACCGACTTGCTCAAGGTCTGCGAACAGGCCACTCCGCCATGCCAGCTGAACCCGCTTCTCTTCAACGGACATGTCCAGACCATGTGGACAGTGGTCAAGGAGCATGGCCCCCAGATCTACTATCGCCGAAAGATCTTCGACTCAGACCATAAGCTCTACAACGGAACCTTCACTGTCGATTTTGTGACTGAGCCGCACCAGGACTTCGAAGAGAAACTGCCTCCAAGGACCGCCTACTTCTCCGAGCAAGCCTTTGCCAACTTGCCTTCCGATGACAGCAAACCTATGCTTATCGTGCTCCACGGTCTGTCCGGAGGCTCGCATGAAATTTATCTCCGTCACGCCATTCTGCCTCTCGTGGAGAGTGGCAAGTGGGAAATTTGCGTAGTCAACTCTCGCGGATGTGCAAACAGCGCAGTCACAAGCGGCCTCTTCTTCAATGCTAGGGCCACATGGGATGTTCGACAGGTTGTGAAATGGGCCAGAAAGAATTTCCCTAACCGTCCCCTTTTTGGCGTTGGTTTCTCTCTGGGTGCGAACATTTTGACTAATGTAAGTAACTAGAACCGCCCTTTAAGGAACCGGTTTCAAAGGTCACTGACATTTTCGATACAGTATGTCGGAGAAGAAGGGGAGGGTTGTCTTCTGAAGGGTGCAATTGCCGTTGGAAACCCTTTCAACCTGGATGTCACCAACAGAGCTTTACGGCGAACTCATTTGGGAAGACTCTACCAACGGGTCATGGGAAGTAGGTTCAATCCGCTTCTTTCACGCTACCTAGTCAACAAGATTGCTGACACATATGTGATTTTGCAGCCAACATGAAGAAGCTTGTCGCAAACCACAAGGAGACCGTGCTCAAGTACACCAACCTCGACTACGACAGGATACAGAACATCACCTACCTGAACGAGTTTGATCGTGAAGTGCAGACCGTAACCTGGGGTTACCCCACCGAAGACGCCTACTACCGCGATGCTTCCTCATGTGATGCTGTCCTAGGCATCAGAATTCCCTTTATGGCACTCTCTGCCGCTGATGATCCGGTGAGCATATCATATCCTTCCTCCTGAAGAGTTCAGCACAAAGACTTGATGAGCGTAGAGCTAACCCTCACTAGATCGCTGTCGAGGAAGCCATTCCTTACCAAGAGATTAAGCAGAACCCCTACACGGTTCTCTGCCTTACGTCTCTCGGCGGACATCTTTCTTGGTTCGAGGTCGGTGGCGGAAGATGGCACACTCGTCCTGTAAGTTTCCATAGTCTCAATGTCCGGTTGCCTTTTGCTGACTGGTTCTCTAGATCTGCAACTTCCTGAACAAGATGGCTTTCGAGATCGACTTGGACGCCATCAAGCCTGATGCTTGCGACAAGTTTGACAGCCAGTTCAGAACTCACTTCGATCCCGTGCAGCGCAAGTTGCAGATTCTCGATCTCGACCAATAGATGGTGCTTGAGTGAACACATAGATAGCGAAAGTGTACTTTGGAAAGATTCTAGAGATTTGTTTCGTCAGTTGGGCCTAGATCGAGGGTTAGACAAGACTTAAAGGTGCATTGGCGCTGGATATAGACTTAGATTCGTACTTTCGACTTGGAATGGAACCGAAAGTATGTTCACTGAAGGCTCATACAAGCCACGAGCTACACGCGTCCCGCAGTTATCACTTAAACAACATCAAACAACTCATGGCGAAGGCTGGACCAATGCTGGCGAGCCCAATTGGTATCTTCAATTCCCAGACAGACAAAAAGTAATAAGAATTTTCCCCCGGCCAAGCCCATCCTACCCGCCGCCGAAGACTTTGGTTGATATAAACGCCCAGACGCCATACATGCGAGAAAATAATGCTTGGTGTAGGTATTACGCGACAAGCTTCCACCCTCCCACTTCCTTCATTCTCCTAGCCCAGGCCCAGGAGGGACCTTCGAAGCTTCCATCCTCGCTTGATTGATTATTCGGGGGCAGCGAAGGATACCGACTTCTTCTTTTTCGACTTGACGGCTTTCGTGCCTGCAGACGAGAACTCCTTGACATCTCTGGAGTCGTCGTCGTCGCCCTTGCCGCCCTGGGACTTGCTGCGCTTACGCTTCTTGCGCAGCGAGTCCTTGGTCTCTTCTAGCCTGGCCTTGCGCTCGGCCTCCTTCTTGTCGGCTTCGGCGCGTCTCGCCTCGCGGATCTCCTCCATTTGTCGCGCCTTGATCATCTTGGACTCGATCTGGCCCTCCTTTTCTGCTTGTACGATGGCGAGGATGGTGGCCATGCTCTCCTGTGTAGGGGGTAAAAAACATGTCAGTCTATTGAAACTTTCTGGTTTCGAAAATGGAGACCACCAGAGGCCCGATTGCCAGCCAAAAAGAACTAACCTTGTCATCGACAAACACCTTGCCCTTCTTCTTTCCCTTCGGCTTGGTCACACCAACGGGGGTGATCATGTTGAGTTCCGGAATCATTCCCGCAAGCTCCTTTTCGCTGTACTTCTTCTTCTTCTGCTTCCTGGCGATAAGCTCCTGGATGTTCGGTCGGCCCTTGTTGGCAGTCACGAGAGTGTGGGTCTTGCTCTTCGGCTTTCCCTTCGACTTGAGCACTCCATCGTTCCTCGACCTCTCCGCATCTTTGCTGCCCTTGATGCCGGATTTGTTCGCAGCATGCTTGTTCTTTATCGTCTTGGTCGGCGCCATGGTGATTTATGATTGCGATGTTGATACCGTCGCAGAAATGGATTGAGTCGGTGGATGGATAGGTGGATGGAGTGGGAATACTTTCGAATGTATCCTGTACGCTGTCGCTTCGGTCGACTTCTCTGGGGAAAATTTTGGGACCGGAATTGGTCCCTGCCTTATCTTATCGCTGCTAAGCTAGAGCTTAATTGGCACTGTATTAATGCCTGCGGCTACGGAGCAGTGGGGTCCGTCAGCTCGCTGTGGGCCTGCCCTGGAATCTCGAATTGGCTGCTGGAGATCGGCAGGCAAGCAGAAAAGTCTAGCGCGGGGTTGGCGGCACTATCGATTGCTCGGTGCGTCACTGGGTGGCCCTCCGAAACCGCCAAAATTTCTAAGATCATCAAGTTTATTGTCGCCATCCTTTCATCCCAATTGATCACGTTGCCGTCGCCATATCCTACGAGTCTGCAGTTCCCAGAAGTCTAAGACACCCTACCCAGACACCATGAGCTCCGAACAGCCTGCGCCCCGCTGGGCTGCCTTTGCGCGCGACACCAACGAGACCAAGATCCAGATCGCCCTCAACCTTGATGGCGGCGCATTCCCTCCCGAGACCGACGCCCGCCTGAACGTCAGCATCGCCGACGGCCACGCCACTCAGGCTAGCAAGTCGCAAACTATCAGCGTCGACACCGGCATTGGCTTCCTCGACCACATGCTCCATGCGCTCGCCAAGCACGCCGGCTGGAGTCTTGCTCTTGCTTGCAAGGGCGACCTTCACAGTTAGTAGACCTTTTTCGCTTGGGCGCAAAGTTCTCCAGGGCGCAAACATCATCCAGAACTCGAAACTGACTTTATCTCTTCACAGTCGACGACCACCACACCGCCGAAGACGTCTGCATCGCTCTGGGCTACGCCTTCGCCAAGGCCCTCGGCACTCCCACCGGTCTCGCGCGCTTCGGATACGCATACTGCCCTCTCGACGAGGCCCTCAGCCGTGCCGTCGTCGATCTGTCGAACCGTCCCTTCGCCGTCGTCGACCTTGGTCTGAAGCGCGAGAAGATTGGTGACCTCAGCACCGAGATGATCCCCCACTGCATCCAGAGCTTTGCCGGGGCTGCCCGCATCACCGTGCACGTCGACTGCCTCCGCGGCGACAACGACCACCACAGAGCCGAGAGCGCGTTCAAGGCGCTTGCGGTTGCCACGAGGCAAGCTACTAGTCGGGTGGCGGGTCGCGAGGGTGAGGTTCCTAGCACCAAGGGAACGCTCAGCGTATAAGAAAGTTGGGAAAGGGAGTTGGTTATAGATTTGTTTGATATAGAGTTGCAAAGATACCATGTAATGTCATTTACCGTGATATTTTGCGCGCATGTCTGGTTTCCATCATTTTTCCATAGCGACGACGTAGAGTAGAGGTGATGAGAATGGGCAAGCAACTGGGGAATTGGTGATATCGTGACGGTACAAATAGGAAAACACCCCTGATGCAGGTTGTTGACAAAGTTCCCCTTTCGGACAGATGCGGGCCCCACAGCGGACAGCAGAACGGGGATCGAGGGGAAAGTGGAAGCCCAGGGCAAGAAGTTCCGGGAAATACGCACAATCCCATCGTTCGTGTGACGTACATTCAATTTTCTCCATCTCAGTGACTCTGATACAGACACGCATTATACGGCACTGAGGCCTCGCACCGGAAACGTCTGTAATCAAACGAAGACGAAATAAACCAGTCTTCGTCAAAACTCAAAATCAAAAGCAAAAGAATCTCCATTGTTGCATCCACCGGCAGCAACGACTCACTCCACATCTCATACGTTCCGGGATACGGCCTTCCGAGGGTGAATCACTCACTGAACCACCTCAACGACCTCTATACAACCAACAAGCCGAACGAACAAACAAATTCAAACGAGAACCGTCACATCAGCCAGGCTTAACGACCTCAACACCTGAGTCCTTCCAAACACCCCAGGAACCTAAGTTCCTCATCACCAATCCACACTACCTCCTCCATCCACGCCATATACCTCTTTTTCTTAAGACAGACAAACACACACAAAAACACCAAAAATGTCCAGACCACTCGACATCAACACCATTAAGCACGAAGAGGCCAACCAAGCCTCGTGGGAGGCATGCAAGGGCGCCTTGTCCGGAGCCTTCAAGTGGGGCGTGGCCTCGGCGATGCTGGGCGGTATTGGATACGCCGTGTCGCCGATTTATAGGGGGTTGACTATTCAGTTTAAGGTGTATGTATTCTCTTTTTTTTTTTTCTTTCTTTCTTTCATCTTTTTTTTTTTTCTGTTCTCTGCCCTTTTGTTATTTCCTGCTATGTTTTTGTTGTCTCCCGGGTTATATTCTGTTTTGCTTCTTTTTTCTTTATGGTTTGGTGGGCTGCGAGTGAGGTGATATGTAACTCGGTGGTCCAACAAGAGAGAAATAAGTTACTGATGAAATGAGAATTTGCAGATACATACAAATGTCCGGCATGGTACTGGGTGGCATGCTGGAGGCGGATCACCGGATCCGCGAGTATGAGAAGACCATGAGGATGAGGAGGAGGATAGCGGCGGATCAGGCTATGTGGAGGGAATTTGAGGAGACGTATGGGAAGGATGAGGATGAGTGAGTGAGTGAGTGAGTGAGTGAGTGAGTGAGGGATGGCAGTGGGATAAGTCAGGCTCTGTTGAGGGTTCTGGAGTTATCAGGGTTGGACCGTTTGGGTCGACGGATCGATCGGGGTTTCGTGGAGAATGAAACGGTTGGCATTTTCTCTCTTCTCTTCTCTCCTGTTGTTTATAAGTTGCTTTACATACAGAACTATGTTACTTGCACTACTACAGCCCACTAAAAGTCATATCCGGCGTGTACATGATATTCGTAATTCCAACCCGTTCCTCCTTTCTCATATTTCAACCAGTCGTTCCGAGCGTCATCATCATCATTACCATCCGTAATGGCCTCCATAACCTCTTACAAAGGGTAAGGGCTCTCGTTGTACACACAACCAAAATCGGTGAACCCGACAGGAACTCTCTCGATGTTACGGAACCCGTGTTCCTTAGGCCTGTTGATGCCCTCAAAATCGAACCAAGTCGACGCTTGAAGTGAACCTTCGGCGTCCATAGTGGAACTGGAGATTTCGCAACTTCGTCAGCTTATCGCACACATAGAAAATATCAAAACAGCCAAGAAAACAAAAAGACACTCACTCGCAGATATTCATGATACCCGCATCGAAATACTCAACGTAACCCATGGAGATCAGCCACTTCTGAGCCCCGGGAGGATCGTTCTTGGAGCAGGGCTGCGAGTGGAACTCGGCGAACTTGTAGTTCTGCCCGTCGGGTATGGGGGCGTTGACGTTGCAGTCCACCTCGGTGTTGTCCCGCGAGTCCCAGATGGCAAAGCTGAGCTCGACCGACTTCGTGGTATCGTTCCAGTGACGAGAGAATCCCCTCACGGACCACCAAGGGCCCTGGTCCACCCACACGTCGCCGTTGCCGTTGCCATTTCCATTCCCGTGGCCATTGCCGTGACCATTGCCGTTGCCACCCTTGTTGTTGCCGTGCTTGGTGTCCTTATGGAGCTCGCCTGGGGCGCGGACCTCGCTGATGGGGTTGGCGAGGGTAGCCGGGAGGCCCGACAGAAGGGCGGAGAGAAGGACGGTCTTGAGCTGCATTGTTGCTGCTTTCCGTTGCTTTGGTCTGAGCCAGAAAGATGATGGAGTTTGGCGGCGGTTGGTTGTTGCAGACGATAGAAGAATGGGGATTGTGATGCTGAGCTGCTGTGCTACTCTTCTTCCTCTTCCTCTTCCATGCAGGAACCCGTCGTCCATTTATACATTTCAACTCTCACTCATTTTTTTTGTTACCGACAAAACCATGTCTTTCCAACCTCCCCAACTTCTGATTTTTTTCGCCATCGTGGTCTGCGGCGAAAACATTGTGTTGTTGGCGGTGTTGATGTTGTTGTCGGACCACTGAGCAAGCTATCGTGGGAGACTAGAGATCCTTCATATTGTCCAAGTCGCATAAGCATTGTAGGTGTTAGTCAAGCAAACGCGCAGTAGAGGGGTGCGAGGAGCTAGAAAAGGAAGAAAAGACAGGGTTCACGTGAGAAGAAAGACTATGCGCTTGCCCGCACATCGCAGAAAAAGGGGGGATGAGGCTTCATGGCTTTCTGACTGTTGTTGAGCCTCATTTGAAGCCAGTTTGCCAGTGGTAAGTTGTAACTCCATCATCCTATCGACGGTTCAATCCAGTGTGTGTCTCCTGCTTGGAGAATGTTGGTTTTCCCATCGCGAACTCTGAACGTTCGGGGCTCGTTGAAGAGTATCGTGAACTGAAGAGTATTGGACAATCATAGTTGTCAAATCGTTAGTTAGCTTGTCAACAATCTGATAGATCATGGCCAAGCAACATATTAGGATATCCAGCCAATAGTGTTTAGAGATTGAGGCGATTTGGAAATTCGCACAGTAGTGAAGGTGATGGAAGCTTTTTGGAGCTCCCTCCGACAGACCGCCGAGCTCACCGACACACCGGACCGGCAACCTATAGCCTTTCGACCAGCCAGAAGGTCATAGCTTATGGTTTGGAAGACACTTGAGGGTCTGTCTTGTGGCCGTCTTATCCCTTATGGCGAACTATCGAACTCAATTCTGCTCGGCGCAGCAATCTTGTTGATGCTTTTGGCTCTCTCGTTCTCGTGATCTCACGATATCGTAAAGGGAGAGTGGCTGGTGCTTGCTACGATGACAGCTAGCTCTAGAAGGGAAAGAAAGAACTGTCATAAAGGCAAACTGCGAGTTTCCCGACCTCTCTTCAGGCCTTTCGTGCTTGTTGTTGTGAACGTTCGGCACCTTAGGAGCCAGATGAAGGCTGCTTATGGCATGTTCCTGGCATTGCCATTCAATGTGTCGATAACAAGCACCAGATGTCTTTAGACGTCCCAGCTATTCAATTTGTAGGCCTCCGGAGATTCAGTGACGGGCAAAATATGTGCCATGACAAGTGGAATAGGTAGGCTTCTCCCCCATCTTGAGCAGTCCATGTTTTTTTTGAGATGCAATAAACTGAGCCGTGATTGAGCAGTGACACCACAACTTTTCGGAGACAATCTGGACAATCTGAAGGCTTGTTGGCAAGCACTTTATCTCAATCATGGCTGTGCTTGGGGCTGACAATTTGCCTATCAAGGCTTCTGCCTCTGGAGGGCGCAGACAAAGGATAAGATGGGGGCCGACGCCGCTCGAGTTGCGCAGCTTCCTCATGGTGGACAAAGTGTTTCGTGGAAAGTATGGCAGTGTTGCACCAGACAAGCTGTCAGACGGCCGAGGCAGCGAATGCGACGTCAACTACGCGGATGTCAAGCCGGTCGTTACTGTTGCTGATCTCCCTTGTCTCCTTCCCTATATTGAACACAACCCGGCGACTTAGCAGGGTCGGTTAAGCATCGCGCCCATCGCGTAACTCATTTTCTCGTATGATATTGGGGGTGAACCAGACAGCCGGGAAATGTTCTTGGAGATGACTGGCGAGAACTGGCGAGTTGTGGGTGCCGATTAATACTGCATGCTGCGTATAGCCCGGCGCGAATACCTGGTGTCTTTTGAGGATGGAACATGAGGTGAACAGGCTGAATTGGTCATGTCGTTGGTCCTCCATGCACTCATCCTCTTCCCTCAAAGCAGGCAATTGAGGAAATTGGACGAGGCTGCTGTGAACCCGAAGAGGCGTCACCGAGTTACCGAAGAGTAGCAGCCAATCTTGCCAATGCTGCAGCCCGGACATTCAGCAGTCTCTGTGTTCTGCAGGTACAGACCCTTCTGTATTCCCGGATCATTTGCAACCGAGGTCCTCAAAAGATGGGGGTAACCAGAAAGGGTGGAGGCGGCAAGATGCGTTGCAACCTCAATAGTGACACGTATCGGGCCGTACATATTGCATGGTGATATGATGGGGCAGACGGGCCTCCTAGGATGGAACTGGAAGCTAGGAACGATGGGGAGAGCCGGAGGGTTTAATCAGATTGCACGGTTATGTAAATATAGAGAATATGGGTGATCGCTGTATTGATTGAGTGTGTAGAGTAGTAAGACTACACATACAGGTTGGGGGATCCCAGAGTATTAAGAAGGTCTACAGCGCTTTTAGGGTAGCTAGGAGGCTAGTCCTCTTATAGAACCCTCGTCTTACTAACTAAATACGGCCCACCAAATCAACACACCTCCCTAACTAAAATCCCCTTTTTAAGGATAAAACTAAAACTATTCACATATCGCCTTCCCATCTCTAACCATTTCCTCTACATCTTCCAACTCAATATAATCCATTACATATCCTTTCGTTTTCTTCTTCTCCTTAACTAAAGCCATTCCCAACAACCCTCTAAATTCCATATACTTCTACGTAGACAATACCTTCATCAAACCGTCTACAAACATCTTTACTATCTCCAAATATCTAATCTTAATAGTCCCAACTATAACCTCCTATCTAAGCCAATACCTATAAATATCTATATACTTCAATTTAATTACTAACTTAAAGGCCTCGACCGTCACTACCCTAATCGTTTACTTATTATCACAATCAATAGTAGGGATAAGATCTATAAGCCTTACGGTCAAGCCTCGTATCAAACGCATCGTAAAAATAACTTCCTTTACTACATTTAAAAAGGCAAAAAATTCTATTTCAATTATTAATATAATTATAGTCGTTTACTTAGTAATTCCCTAATATATTAGACCGCTAAAGAATTTAATTATAAAACCGTATAAACTTTTTCAATTTATAAAATTATCTATAAATGATATATCTGACGTAATTTGTAAAGTATCCTCGCTTCTATAGTATAGCGCTATATCTACAATAGCGTATAAATAATACAATACTTTATTTATAACCTTATAATAATCTAAATTAAGGTTATAATTATACTTAGTGAAGCAGCTTATAGCGAAAGTAATATCCAGTCGTATTATAACTACTACGTAAAGAATAAAACCGATTTTAACCTAATACTAATATATCAACTTACCAAATACCTTATCTTTAAAGGGCATAAGCTCAATATTAATTATAAGCAACCACATTACTCTTTTATTGTCTATAAAGCGGTGAATCTTCTATAAATATAACCGTTAAAATAGCTAAATCTTTCGTACTTTATAATTTTATATAATTTTAATACCTAAGAACTATTATAACTCTTTACCTCCAATAAAATAATATCGTTATTTAAAATTATTTATATACTTATAGGCCTCCTCACTTTTATTATAATAAAAGGCAAAAATAATATTATCGACGTAATGAAAAACGAGTATACTATTATTAATAAAAATATAAAATTCTTGTAAGACCGCTTCGAAACCTAAGACGGTAAATATATTAATAAATTCGTATTATTAAAAAAGGGGAGAATACCGCAGCCTATATAATACCTTTAAAAATTTTAATACTTTACTTAGTACTTAATATCCTAAAGGTATACGTATATAAATTTCCTTATCTATATATATATTAATGAAAGTATTAATAATGTTATATTAAATAAATTCGAAGTTAAAACGTACAACTATAATAATAAGGGTATAAGAGGATCGGCTGGCAAATATAAAAGTATATATTTCTTACCGTACTTCCTTCTTTTACTAATTTCTATATATAACGAAATATATCTTAACTTTATTAAACTTACTATTTTTAAAGAATTTATATATATATACCCATATATAATCAAATAACTATTTCTCCTTAATTTTAGGCTCGTCCCTATCGACCTCTACCTAAGTTCTTATCTCCTTATAACTATTGAAATAGATTTATTCTACTTCTTTAAAGAAGTCCCTAAAGAAGTATTAATTAAAAAACTTGTAATTCTTTAATAGTAATAATAATTTCTAACAATAGATAGTTTAAAGTTTATTTACAAAAACGAGAAAATCGAACTCCTTCTAAATAATAATTTTATCTTTCTAAAAAAAAACGCTCTAACTCTACCTTCGTAACTACTTTACTATAATATGTAATTGTAAATTAATATAATCTTCCTATATTAAACGCGGCCTTCTATAGTTCGAAACCGTAGTAAACTTCGTCTTCTATACATTTATCGAAATAAAATCCTACAAAAAAGGACGCAAGCAATAATATATTAAGAAGAATATGGTAATCCTTATTAAAAAAAAAATCGAAGGATATTTTATTAGCGGGGGAGTTCGAATTTTCTAACTAAGGTATTAAAGAGCTGTAATCAGTCTCTCCTTCTTAAGGGGTTTAATTTAATTCTAATAATAAATTTAGGAAGTTGTATATTTAAACATCCTCGAAATTAATTCGACTACCTATAAATTTAATATTTCTAACGCTAATTAGGACTAATTGTACTAATTAAATAATACTGTAAATTCGTTAAAAGTAATTTACAAAAACTATACTTCCTTTAGCATCTCCCTAAAAAAAAGGGTATTTTCGTTAAACAATACGTTGCGGGTATTAATAACTATATTCGTAATTAAATTCTATATATAATGAATTGAGGAAGTTATATAACCGATAAAATATTTTATCTAAACCTTAAAATTCATCTTCTAATATCGCTACTCCTTCTTTTAAGTAATAATAATTATTGCGTACGCTTTATAACCGTAAATGCGTAAATATACTATATTTAGCTTACGTAAGGATATTATATTAAAACTATTTTAATAGGTAATTAAAGTATAAAACCGTTTATAAGGGGATTTCTAATCGTAAAACTATTTAAATAATCGGTTAATAAAGTAGACTATTACGGAAATAACGTCTAGCCACAAATCTTTCGCGAAATATTTATTTAAATTTATTGTTCGAAATTTCTCCTTAATTATACCTCCCGAACGCTCTATGCTACCGTTCTATACCTAAACATTTAAAATAAAAGGCTCTACAATTATACTTCTAAGAACAAGGAAATTTTTTACTACTTTAGAACCGGTAATCTTATTATTACATTTAATAACTTTAAATTAAATATTATATCAGATAATAAATATAATAAAGAAATTATTTAAGAAGGAGGCAATAATTGTAACCTTATAATTTATTATATAATAATCCTAAATATACTTAATATACCGATAAGTAATAAGTATAACGCTAGAATATTCCTAGCGGCTTTTATCGTAATTTAGGAAATCGATAGCGAATTTCTCACCAAGTCTATAGCCACAATCTCGAAATTTTTATTTAGCTTATTATTTTATCTTTAATATTACGCAAACGTCGTAATTTATAATTATAAGTCCCTTAAGGCGGGCCCCTACAATGTTACTAAAGTAATCTAATACTTAAGGGCTGTAATAACCGAATTGGTAATACTAAATAATAGTTTCTTTTTTATAATATTTCCAGCTAATTAATTAATTAAATTGGTATTGTTTTGTAAAGAAAGTAATTCTTAAAAAAGTTGGGGAAAAGTTTTTGAACACCGTTTAACGATAATATATAGAAAAACTATAAAAAAGGAAATTGTTTAGGGCGCATAAACAATTATTTAAGAGTTTTTGATTCTAATAGAAGCCTTTTTTATATAAAAAGTAGAAAGATACGAAATTAGTAATAAAATTTAAGTAGAAGGCTACGTCGTTAAAGTGAAGTTTCTTAAATCCTTTTACTCCTTTTATAATAATATTTATATTACTATATCCCTTAATAAGAACATAAAAGTCCCTAACCTAGAGTCTATTATCGTATAAGGTATAATAGAAATTAAAAAAACCAAATATATCGTTAAATATATAAAAAGAATTCCTAAAATCGAAGATCGTATCATTTTTAAAAGGGTAAATATTTAAACCTTCCTCTATATAGAGAGTAGTTTTACTAATATTAAAAACTATTTTATATAAACTACCCTCGCTGAAAAATTAATTACTCTTATTATCGAGGCTGGGAAAAGGCTAGGCGTACTACCTTACCATCTCCCCTCTATAGACTTCGACCTCTCTTTTCAATTTTATATTATCCTTAAAATTCTTTACAACCCTATTTTAAATTTTCTTATTAAACCTCTATTGCGGATTTATAACTATAGCCAAAGTAGGGAATATATATTAATACTATTTAATAATATATATACCCTCCTTATATATTTTATAATTAGGGGAATAATTTTTAATTTTCATATCGTACTTTCTCTTATATTAATTATAGGTTCTACTAAGTCGAACGTCTTTATCCTTAATATTGCTACCCTACGAACCGTTAAAAATAATACTTACTCTAAATACTCCTCTATACCCTTTAGCTTTAACCGTAGTAGTTAGAGGTCGTTCGTATAAACCCTTACAACGAAAATCCCCGGATACAATATAAAAATTAAAAGTATTAGCCGTAACTTTCTCGCTAAAAAAATTCGAGATTCCGGATACCCAATTAGAACGTATAGGTCTTAAATAATCTAATAAATTTCTAAATTAAATAATAGCTAATTAAATCACTAGGACCTTATACCATATAGCGTTAATTATTATTAAATCCTAACTATCAATCTATTTACTTATTCTACTAAAGGTCTTACTAAACTCGCTCGATAAAGGTTTAATGTAGTCGTAATATTATTAACGAGCTTTAATTATAGTATCTTCTTCGCAATAATTATAAATACTATGGACCCTAATATACTATGTAATAATAAATTCTAAAGGGGTAAAAGAGTTAGCTTTATAGTCTAAGTATATAGTCCCTTACATCCACTTTCAAAAGTTAATATTCTTAATCTTAAAAAAACTCGTAAGCCTTTTAGCAGTTATTATATATAGTATTATTGTATTCGTATTCCTTAATAACTAGAGGGGTAAAATCAACTAATTAAATAATAATATCGGCCAGCCAATCTTCGTCAAACCGGTCGGTAACCTCGGCAGCATTATTAGGGTCTTCGTTAGTAGCTATAGAAGTAGTATTAAGAACTACTAAAGTGCGGTAAATTAAGAGCCTAACTTCGAAGTATTAAAAGGTCTCTCGAACTCTTTTAACATAGTGGATAACTCCGGCCTTAAGGGCATAATTAAAATAACGCGGTTTTTAAGGCTTAGTAACGCCTAATTCAAAACCTTATAGATAATTAGTAAAGTCTAAGCCTTCAGCGTACCCTAGGAGTTCATTACTCTATTTATAGAATTTTAAAAAAAATATCGAAGTAAAGTCGGTTAGATTTAAAAGTAAATTCCTTAGATAGGGATATAGTTTCGGTTATATATATAATTATATAAATAGATCTTATACTTCTAAATATACTCGTATAGCACAAGGATTGCGAATTCAGACTATTAATTATCAGATTGTACAGTTATATAAATATAGAAAATATAGGTAATCGCTGTATTAATTGAGTATGTAGAGTAGTAAGACTGCACACACAGGTTAGGGGATCCCAGAGTATTAGGAAGGTCTGCAGCGCTTTTAGGGTGGCTGGGAGGCTAGTCCTCTTACAGAACCCTCGTCTTACTGGCTAGATACGGCCCACCAAATTGACAGGTTTCGCAAAACGAAGAAAAGAGGAGGAAAGAAGAAAAAGAGACAGGCCAACATGCCAGGATCATTGGGGTCTCCAGTTCGGCCCCCCACAGGACCACTTGGGCCATTGACCTGACAAGCATGATTGATTGGCACGAAGGGTGTCGGGAGGGAGGGGAAGCTCGGGGTAGCAAGGCGAGCAAGAGAGGGCATTCCGGGAACAGGGAAGCTGTCGGGGTTGCTCTTCTTTTCTGACAAGTGCTTGCTGTGTCTGTCACGCAAAAAACATCAGCGGGACGGAAATGGTGAATCAGCCATGGACGGGATGATCAGCAACGTGCGGGAGCGCTAGGAACAACGGTCGTTCTGTGCCGCCCGCGCCCGTGTGGATCGCTTCCTTTCGATAGAAGGCCGACAGGTCATTTCACCACCTCACCTCGATGCCCCCGGGTGGTTTCGTGCTTCGTTTCCTTCAGAAGGATTCCGTATTCAGGATCGTCTTCCGAGATTTGGCTGTGAACAGGGAAAACAAAAAGGTCAAGTGCCGAACTGTTTCTCTGTTGAAGGTCAGATCTTCAGCCCTCAACTCCAGCTAAGAGATCTGAAAGTGGGCCGTGCGCTTGTCGCTTCCGTTCAAGCTCTCGTCAAGCTCCACTGAGCTTAGCGCGGGACAGTCCGGACCCCACCTTTGATTGCAGATGTCCTCCGGTGTCCACTTTGAACGCTCACCTTCCACTTGCACACACTTTCGACACTTTCACTTTGACACCTGGTGCGCATGCTTGGCAGTGACTGAAGTCTCTCTCAGCACTGTTTTCCTCTTTTCACGACTTTCTTTTCTTTTCAAAAATCTCTGCTGCGTCCTGCTCGAGCTTCTGCCAATGTCACACTCTAGCGCTCGTCAAAACAGGCCCTCACTGGCTCGCGATCAAGGCAAACAAACAGCTGGCTAACCAGACTCGCCAGACTTGTGACTGTTGTGTTTCCTTTGCCCACGTTCGGTTGCCTCTTAGAGACCTGGGCACCGTTGGAGGCCATCCCTATGCCGCCCTCCTGACTAGCCAACATGATTGGATCATGCCTTCACACCACCACAGGTCAAAGGTTCCAACTGTCCCAACCCATCCATCAGCTGGATGGACCAAAAAAGCGAAGGGATGAGAAGGAAGACGGAACTAGAACTGTGTTACAACGGGTGTGGCCAAAGTCGAGGGTGTCCCGCAGCTCAGCCAGTGCGCCCTACCGTCTTTTCACACCCGACTTCTCGCCGCCTTGGCCTCTCACCTGCAGCAGCCCATTTTCAGCGGGAGCCCTCAAGCAAACTTGCCGACTGGACAGCCCAGTCGGCAGATCCTGGACAAAACCTTCATCTGTATGGCCGTGGCCCTGCCGGAAGCTCAGGAAGCTGGCTGTCTGGAGGTTGGTTTAAGGTAAGGATAGTCGATACTCACGATGCTACTCTTCCACTCTCTTTACATTAGTCCTTTGAGATATCCCAGCTGGCTTGCATTAGTACCACTATCTGATATTAGTCGATATTGACTACTCACTATTCGACTACTTACCAACTGCCCGGATGATGACGACCTCCTCTTCTTTTCCCCGTCCAAGGCAGTCTTACTGTGCCGTGTAACCTTGCAGGTAAGATCAACGGGGGACGGAGACCCAACAGCCAGCCTGCTCCTCCCACTCACACCATCTTCAGTATACTTGACTATGCCGGGCCCCAAGTGGTGGCCTTTACCTCTTCCCCTCTTCTTGGTACCGACTCGTCTGTCTCTTTCGACCTCTTTCGACTTGAGGACGACCTTAGTGTCCCCGGGTCTTCTTTCGAATGTTGCCCAGTTACAAGGCAGCGACTGTGAGTTTTAAGTTACAGAAACGCCTATACGGATGGCCAAGGACCCGACGACATCTGAGCAAGGTTAACGCCTGAGTAACCATATTTTCACCCCAGCGCCCTTCGTTCTTGTCGAACACAGAGGGGATCCTCTGCGTGTCTGACCATGACAACACGGACATGGACCTCCCTTGTCCGGAGAGACACCAAAGGGCCCTTGAGCACCGGTGCTATCGCCGGCATAGCTGTCGGAGCGGCCGTGCTGTTCTTGGCGAGTGCTGCTCTATTTGTCGTGTACTATCGACGACAACGACGCTATGATGCCGAAGATAGCGAGTACTATCAGTATGCCGATTCTGTTCAACGGGGCCAAAACAACATGGGGAGGACATTCGTGGCAGTTCCTCGCCGAGCTCCAACCTACACTTTGGACTATAAGATGGACAACCAGGGAGGTACCGGGCAGTCGACTCCCGCCCAGTTCTCAGCAGACCCCCGGGCCCAAAATCCAGAGTCACCTCCACTGGACGATATGGCAAGCGCAATGCCAACCCACCCAGCATATCTTCCCAAGGCGGTGGTTCGGGGGACAACACTCAAGCCCATCACTCGTCGACTCTCCGAAGACAACAGCAACCCGGCATACTATCCTTCGACCACAGACAGCAACAGCATGCCAATGCAAGCCTATCGCGGCTCTTCATCCACTGCCACCGCCACCGTAACAGGAGGAAGGAGTGAGAACGATTCAAGGGTGATGGGAAGCAAGGAGAAACAGTTCTTCCCCTCTCCACCGGGATCCGGGGGAACGGGCGCAACCACCTTCTCCGACGACGAGGACTGTTACGCAGGGGATCCGGAGAAGGACGTCAAAGGCCGGCGGAGGGTCTCTCTCCCGCTCCGTCTTGCCCCAGTGGACCAAGAAGAGGACGACGAAGACCACCGATACTACCAACAACAACAGCAACAACAAGAACAACAACAGCCCCAGCACTACCAGCATCAGCAAGCCCAAGGTTATCACCAACAGCAACAACCACAACAGCCACAACAATCACCACCAGCCCTTCCCACCCCCGCCTCCGTCGTCTCCTCCTCCCGCACCACTCGAAGCGGCCTGGTACCTACCATCTCCCTCCCCAAGGGCAAAAAGAAGAAATTCCCCCCTCCCCAACTCAACCTCCACCAACAGCGCAACAACAACAACAACAACAACAACAACAACAACAACAACAACAACAACAACAACAACAGCACTCATAACTCTCCCAACAACCCCAACCAAACTACCGGCAGCGGCAGTAACATGAGCAGCGGTGGGAAGAACAGTGGCGGTCTAATGGTAGACATGGTAATGTCCACCAACAACCACCGCCCGCTAAGCGGGATGGAGGATATGTCCATCAGTGGACCGTTGGCTTTTCCTCATTATTCTCATAAGCAGTATCATCAGCAGCAGCAGCTGGAGCAACAAGGGGGCTATTATGTTGATGAGTATGGGAATCCGGTTCTAGCGCCGGGGAGTGGAGGGAGTAGAGGTAGAGGGGGGATTAGAGATCGGTCGAGAAGTTTTGGTGGTGATCACCAACAGGGAGAGGCGCAGCAGAGGCAGAGACAGGGACATGGAGAAGGTGGAAGGCGGGAGAAGAGACATAGTGGGAATAATGGGAGGCATTATGAGGAGGTGGAGATTGGGAGGGAGAGTGATATTTGGTGATTTCGTCGATGTTTTGTCATAAGTTGCAGACCTGGAAGTCTGTTTTCGATTCGTTGTATATTTAATTGAACAATACCATCATGGGTTTGGGGTGTGGAAATGGCGTATCATGGAAGGAGGGAATCTCGTTTTTCAGGGACACGAAGATATCTTGGCTCCCGAGTAGGCGGGATTCCTCTCGGGGACTTGGAGATAGTTGACTGCGTGTGAATGTGTCGGTTGCTATGTTTAGGTTCATATCCAGTTATGAACATCAATGTCACCAGAGAAGTGAGGAAAGCGAGGCGTGTATGATATATCAAATCATTACTATTACTATCTTGACTGATCTGCCATTCTGCCCGTGCCCTACACCACACATGCGCATGCTCTCAGACCCTCACCATGACAAAGTCACTCTCAATCACCACCCAGACGATGGCCTGAGCCCCGGGTCCTCCACGAATCCGGGAGCACCGAGCCGGTGGACGCACCTGTAGTGCTACCAGTAGACGGAGCGCCAGGACCGGGACGGATGGCTGTGCCGTACTCGCGGCGGAACACTCTCGGCGTCTCAACAAAACGAGACAGGAAAGCGGGCGTCGGCAACAAGCTCGAGCCGCCGCCGAATTCGGCCCACAGACGGGTCATAAAGTCATGCCAGTGAGCAGCAAGAATACCGGTGACCTGAAGAGGAATCGCCATGGGGTTCATGAGCAGCGACGAGAGGAGCATGCAGTACGGGATCAGCTGCGCAGGCACCGTGAAGAAGAAAAAGTTCGCCTTCGCGCCGCGGGCATCTTGAACGGCAGTGTAGCACAGCGCAACGATCAATCCTTGGAGGAAGAAATACCCACCCAAGAAGATTCGGTTTACGGTCTATCATGTGTTAGCAATTCTGCTGACAGAAATGCTGGCAATTGTATAACAAAAAGCACGAATGCTTGATGTTGAGATGTAGGGCGCTAGAAACCACACCGAGCACACTGATATTGCTCGGGTCATCCAAAAGCATTCCCACCATGGCCACACCGCAGCCCACCCGGTATTTTGCGAATGATGGGCGGCCGAGATGCAGCGGTAATCTTCCTCGGTTCCAGGAACCGCAATAGTTGTATGCATTGCACTATGCGGGCAGATATTCCGAGGATTCCAATGTGTGTTGTGACGGGTTGGGGGAAAGTGTAGTCAGGAGAGAAAAAGAGATGTCAAAACCTACAATGATGAAACCACCAACAGTAATCAAATACCAAAGGATGTCTTCCTTCCTTTGGAACTTGGGGTTTGTGGTTTCAAGTTGGCTCAAGTACTGATAGGCTGTAACACTTGTTAGCATCCATGTTGAGAAGTTTTCTTCGAGGAGGAAGGGTGGCTTACCAAAGTACGGATCTAACACAATGCCCAGCTGCGGTGAGCTGAGCAGGAAAGATGTAACAAGACGCCATATCTCAGGCGGCAGTTTGAAGAGTCTGCTCTCATCGAAGTAGATCCAGTCAATCGGCAACAGCCCGAAATGGGCTGTGATGGATGTAACGAGAATGGCCGTCGCCAATGTCCTGAAGCAAGTTGGTATGTGTCCATGGAGGCTCTTTGCCAGCTCTTGCACACGATATCGGGCGTGGGAAGAAACCAGCTCAGACGGCAAAGCTCACCTAGCCATTGGTGGCGCCTGCCAGTAGGCCGCCATGAGTTCAGACGACATCTTGTCGGGATCTGTGCGTGCGGTGTGATGTGATGTGGTGTTATGAGGGGGACTGAAAGCAAAATGCTGATTCTTGTTCTTCGATTTTTCAAAAGAAGCTCAAGTCGGCATTCTTCTGTAGGAAAAGGTGGAAAGGGGAAAACGCCACAGGCAGCGGTGGGATGTAACGCTGCCTGGAAAGGCAGAGACAGAAGACGTTGGTGATTCGTGTCTTTTTTGAGGAATGGAAGCACGAAGAAATTGCAGCCAACGGAAAACGCCTTTTATGGAAGCCTCGGGAAGCCAAGTGCCTCTGGTGGGGCTGTTGTGCTTTGGGTGGGGCATTTGGAGCTCTGGCCGTCGATTAATCCGTGTCTTGGCAGGGCAAGCGCGGGGACCCGCTTCGCCGGCGCCCGGGGCGATCTTCTCCCGGCAAGAGGAGCCGTTGCCGGTGGCATATAATGCCCAGCTCGATACCGCTTGCTTGCCCTGACGGCAACATCCATGTTTGTGCCTTCTACTTGTAGGGTTGCTGTGACTGTGAGTTGTGACTCAATTCCGTTTCGACAATCAAGCCAACTCAGATGAAGAGAATCACGATGAAAAGTATGCCTTCAGGCCAATTTAGATCTTTAAAAAAAAAAAAAAAAAAAAACTTTTGTGTCTCAATTGGTTTGTTCGTAGTGATATTGGTTGCGCTCTCTTTGATATCTCCCACTGGCTCCGATACCGCGCTCGGCGTCTTGTGACCTCACAGATACTGAATTGCGCCTTTTCGGTTGTTTACTTTCTGATAAGAGAATCACCAACCCAAGCCACCCCTTTCCCCAGTAACCTCCAGACTCAGCATCTCGCAGCAGTCATGGAGAGCCTCAACGGCTGTGTTCTCAGCCAATTGAGGCAGTCTGGTGCCCAATTGACTCGTACTCTTCAAAAGGTCCAGTCCAGGTCCTACTCGGCCCCCGTCAGCGGCTCTATCCCCGCGGCCAAGAAGAAGTATGTCCCTACTTCCGGCACCTATCCTCTGGGCTTCTCGGCTTCCGGCATCAACGTAGGCGTCAAGCCCAAGAACACCACCAAGCCCGATGTTTGCCTTGTCGCCTCGGACCGTCCTTGCGCTGCCGCCGCTGTTTTCACCAAGAACAAGTTCCAGGCCGCCCCCGTCACTTTCAGCCGTAGCTTGTTGCAGAAGAAGGGCAACCAGGGTATTCAGGGTGTCGTTGTCAACTCGGGATGCGCCAACGCCGTCACTGGCAAGGGAGGCTTGGAGGATGCCGGCAAGATGGCCCAGGCCGCCGATGAGTGCTTCGGCCAGAGCGAGAGCACTCTCGTTATGAGCACCGGTGTCATTGGTCAACGCCTGCCCATTGAGAAGATCACCAGCAACATCCCCCGGGCTCACAAGGCTATGGGCTCTACCCACGATCACTGGCTTACGGCTGCCAAGGCTATCTGCACCACCGACACGTTCCCCAAGCTCATCTCCCGGTCCTTCAAGCTTCCCTCCTCCCCTTCGGTTGAGTACCGCATCGCCGGTATGACCAAGGGAGCTGGTATGATTCACCCCAACATGGCCACCCTCCTCGGTATCATCGCTACCGATGCTCCCGTTTCTTCTACCGTCCTGCCCGCCGTCCTCAAGCACGCCGTCGACCGTTCGTTCAACAGCATCACCATCGATGGAGACACTTCCACCAACGACACTGTTGCCCTTCTTGCCAACGGTGCTGCTGGCGGAAAGGAGGTTGTTGCCAACACTCCCGACTACGATGCCTTCCAGACTGTCCTGACCGATTTCTCTACCGACCTTGCCAAGCTCATTGTGCGTGATGGCGAGGGTGCCACCAAGTTCGTCACCATCCGCGTTGTCGAGGCCGCCAGCGAGGAGGCCGCTAGGAAGATTGCCAGCACTATTGCCCGCTCTCCTTTGGTTAAGACTGCCCTTTACGGCAAGGATGCCAACTGGTACGTTGAAAAGAGTTATTCCATGCGCTCATGGCAGTTACTAACATCGCTTTTAGGGGCCGTATCCTCTGCGCTACTGGCTACTCCCTTGTCTCCGAGCCTGGTCTTCCCGTCAACGATGTTCCCGAGGTTGTCCCTGAGAAGACCAGCGTCTCTTTCATCCCCACTGACGGCACTGCTGAGCTGAAGCTGCTCGTCAACGGCGAGCCTGAGCAGGTTGACGAGGCTCGTGCTGCTGAGATTCTCGAGCTTGAGGACCTTGAGATTCTTGTTAGACTTGGAACTGGCGACAAGCAGGCAACCTACTGGACTTGCGACTACAGCCACGAGTACATGTAAGTTGAACAGCCCTCATCTGAACTTGAGTGACAGACTGCTGACATGATCATGAACAGTACCATTAATGGAGACTACCGCACATAAGAATGCACTAATGAGGCGTTACTGTTACTTAGGGAGGATACCCGGAGGTACATGGATAGAAAAGGTTCATTTTATAGCCATACTTTTGCTTTCCTGCCCTTTCTTTGATTCGTACTTCTACATGATACGCAGACATCGTCCGCCATTCCGACTAAGCCTTTCGCAAAAAATGGAGTCTCAGCATATACTCTGATGATTGAAATGTGTAAGAGAAAAGCACAACATGTGTCAAGTCACTTGAAGGGATATGCCACAAAGGCTTCTAAATGAATATTTCCGGGGACGACATATACAAATCTCCTCACAACTACGGACCGAATAGAAGCCCCTTCTAATAGACATCAAAAGATTTTTCAGGATCTTAGAAGATCATCTCATTTTGTTTTTCGATCGAGACAGAAGGAACAAAAGTCGGACGCTGAGGGCGAGTAAGAGCATTCTTAGGGTTAGGGTGCAGCGACCTCGGCCAGACCCCTGCAAAACCACTTAAAATCAGTTGAACGCGACGCGTCGCGCCGCTGACCTTTCCCTCCAGGCAGCTCAGGAAAATCGCAAACCAACAAACAACACCATTGAGGGTCGCAAAACATAAAATTTGGAGACTTGAAACAGGCCATTCGAACAGGAAAACAATTGGTCTACATCCACCCAAAATGCCACCAGCCAAAGCAGAAGAGAGGGGCGAGTCCTCAACATCCATCTCCAAGGCAGCAACCTCGGTTTCCACAAGCTCTTCCCCCACCTACGAGCTACCATGGTGAGTCTGGCCTGGAACAGAACCGCCGCTTGTTTTTCATAAAACGTCTGGCTAACCCACGAGTACAAACAGGGTAGAAAAGTACAGACCAGTCTTCCTCGACGATGTGGTCGGCAACACAGAAACGATCGAGCGACTCAAGATCATCGCAAAGGAGGGCAACATGCCCCACGTCATCATATCCGGCATGCCTGGTATCGGAAAGACCACGAGTGTCTTGTGTCTAGCGAGACAATTACTAGGCGATGCGTACAAGGAGGCGGTCTTGGAGTTGAATGCCAGTGACGAGCGAGGTTAGTTGACAACGACATCAACATCCCCCTCCTCGGTACAGGCGGGAGAGAGGCATAAGCTACGACAACATCACCAACCAACCCCCATACTAACCCTCAACCCAACCCAAAAAAAACAGGCATCGAAGTAGTCCGCCAACGAATCAAAGGCTTCGCCCAAAAGAAAGTCACCCTCCCGCCCGGGCGACACAAAATCGTAATCCTCGACGAAGCCGACAGCATGACCTCGGGCGCGCAACAAGCGCTTCGCCGCACAATGGAGATCTACTCTAACACCACGCGCTTCGCCTTCGCCTGCAACCAATCCAACAAGATCATCGAGCCGCTCCAGTCCCGCTGCGCAATTCTGCGCTACGCCAAGCTCACCGACGCGCAAGTCGTCAAGCGGCTGCTGCAAATCATCGAAGCCGAAAAAGTCGAGTACAGCGACGACGGCCTTGCGGCTTTGGTCTTCAGCGCCGAAGGTGACATGCGGCAGGCGATCAATAACCTGCAATCGACGCACGCGGGCTTCGGGTTCGTGAGCGGAGATAATGTATTCAAGGTGGTGGATAGCCCGCACCCGATCAAGGTGCAGGCGATGCTCAAGGCGTGCTACGAGGGTAATGTTGATGCGGCGCTGGACGGCTTGCGGGAGCTGTGGGATCTTGGGTATTCCAGTCATGATATCATTTCTACCATGTTCAAGGTCACCAAGACGATCCCGACGCTGAGCGAGCATGCTAAGCTCGAGTTTATCAAGGAGATTGGGTTTACGCATATGAAGATCTTGGAGGGCGTGCAGACGCTGTTGCAGCTGAGCGGGTGCGTGGCGAGGTTGTGTAGGTTGAATATGGATCCGAAGAAGTTTGTGGTTGCGAAGAAGTGAATAGGGTTTTCGAGCAAGGAAAAAGAACAAGGGATTGTGGAAGGGATCTTGAGGTGGCATGAAGAGGTTCTGAACAGATAATACCCGAGGGGCGCTATGTGTTGAATTTTTTGTTCGGCGTTGGTTTTGATGTTTGGTAAACTGGCATAGCATACTACACTACAGAGAAAAAGGCATTGGTGGTTGGCATGTAGCATTTGCGATATGGCTGGCAGCGAAGCATGAAACGTAGAGGAAGTCCTGATCATATGCATCGAATGTATATTATTCAGATACGTCGGGCCATGTTTGTGAAATATCCAAGTTGCCTGAAAAACTACACAGAATCCCAAGGGTTGTGACTTTTCCCGCTGTCACCACCTGTTTTATCCTCTGATCCATATTACCAATCCGGTTGCCCGGTATCTCTTTTAGACATCTTTCCAAAAACCGAGTGAAATCCTCTCTTTTCCTTGCCAGCTATCCAACGTTTCCATCCAAGAAAATTGATTCAAGAAAATTTCATAGAATTTCAACATGTTCATCTCATCCACGATACATCCGCACATAACCTTCGACCGCAAACTTTAAACCCCGTTATCTCCAAAATTCCCAGCACTGATACCCTTTTCAAACAGAAACAGGCGACAACAAATCCGGAGGATAATACCTCCCATTGACCCTAGCCCCACCATTGCGTCCACTCCCGGCAGCAGTCTCCCGGCGATGAGGATCAACGGAGTGTGTCCTCCTAGACGGCTGCTGCTGGGTAGATACCTTCCTACCTCTACTATCCCTTCCTCCCATCAATCCTCCAACTGGTGTTACCGGCCCTCGCCCGTAAAACGCCTCGGGTTCATCATCACGATCATTAATACCAACAGCCTGTGGCATTGCCTTATGTGGTTGTTGGACATGGCTATGGCCACCATAAGTCGTGGCAGGGAGCAGATTATGCTGATGGTACTGATGATGCGGCGTTGTCGGGCTTTGGGTGCTCGGTGTTGACGGAACTGTGCGTTGCTCACTGCCCCTTCTAGTGTAAGAAGCCTGCCTGCTTCTGCTCGATGAGCGGGAACTCGAGGTGTAAGAAGCAGGAGTATATTGGGGCGTTTGCGGGACCGGGGGTGGAGGATAGTTGAACGATGGTGGGATCTTGGGGTTTGATGCCGATGCGCTCCTGAGTCTAGAGGGCGTCCGTTCAGTTGTGGGACGTTGTCGGGGAGCTACTTGAGGTTGTGGCTCGTCCCTTAGTCTCATGTGAACTGGTTGGCCGGCACGCTGCTGCTGCTGCTGCTGCTGCTGCTGGTTGTTCATAACTTCTGCTTCGGAAAATGTGGTCTTGAAAATGCTGGGGCTTGCGGCGATGGGAATCATGTTGAAGAGGTCATCGAAACCCGTCTTGGCCGGCTTTCTTGCTGCTGTCCTGCCCACGCCTAGTTCGCCGAATTCATGCTCCCTCTCGTCTTCGCGTCCTGCCCGCCTTGGGTCTCGTTCTGTTGGACCTGTGCGTGCTGACTGGTAGGAGTGATGGCTCGTGACTGGTGAGAGCATCTCTGGGCCCCTTGTTCGGCTGGGATTGCGGGATCTGCCACCGGATTTGTTTGTCGATCTGCTGGCTGGCCTGGAGGGAGGAGTGTGGGATGGTTGGCGGTTGTAGTCAGTCCTGGCCGAAACGGGCCAGTTTGGTTCAACCGGTGTGTTCACAGCGGGTGAAAAGGGCAATGGAGTTCGGTAGGCTGCTGACAGCGGTGCGTCGTCGTAGGGTGTGATGGGAGGAGTACAAAGATCACGACTGGTAAAATAGTTTCCAGGCTTCACTCCGGATGGCAACCGCTTGGTAGTAATGGGGGGAAGTGTACGTGCACCTTTGTGAATGGGAAGCTCGGGTCGCATGGCCATGACAGTCGGACTGGGATATACCGGGCTCTCTACAACTTCTGCTCGTCCTACATAGGCATGCTCGTCACATCCTCCACAGTTGCCTTGGCAACCAGCGTAGTCCTCCGCGCATGAATCACTACAATCCTCTTCCTCGTCTACCACGAAGCGAGAAGGCTTCGTAGCTATGTTCAAGATTGGTCGTTTTCTGGCCTCGACTGGGCTGCGTCTGTTGCCCCCTATATGTCTGTTAGAAGCTGCGGCTTGCACTGCTGCCTCTGGTTGTGTATGTGTTCTCACAGGGGAATATGGGGAGGTTGTGTTGGCTTGGCCGGGAGAAACTGGATTCCCAGTAGTGCCAGGGGTTGTCTGGGGCATGTCCTCTTCATTGTTCTCGGTAGCGGCGTCAGGGCGATTGACGAGCTTTCCATAGGGCGGAGCGTCAGTGTTGACGACCAGCAACTCCTTGGAACCACGGCCGAGGAGTCCATAAACAGACACCTCACCGTTCTTGATTCCAATGACGGCACTGGTGCCCGCGTATAAGACGTCGTCTTCCATGCCGCAGCGATTGCAGAACACAACAATGAGTTCCTCGTCGCTTTCGTCTCGGATGACTGGCTCGAATCGTTGAAGCCAATATGTCATGGTTGCCAGATCAGGTTCCTGAGCGAGGGGAGTGAAAGTTGATGGATCCTCGTGGGTAAGCCAGGCCATTGATAGAATGACCAGGTTTGCTCGAACTTCAAGGACGTGGAAAGCGAACTCGAATTTGTGCCAGGGTGCCTCGAATTTGTAGGGACTATAACTCGTTAGCTATGTACAATAAAGGGGATGTGAGTTTAGGACATACTTGATATCCATGCCTGCGAAAAGGTTAGTACGAGTGTCTCTTTGAATAGTCATTGAGGTTGGGATTGAAGATACTCACAGATTCCCATGGCAACGTTGCCGAAGCCCTCCATTCTGCCGCCATAGAACCCTCCACCTTCCAAAGCCCAAGTCTGATCAGTGTAGTAGAGGAAGGACTTGCGATAGTTTGCAACGGTTTCACCTTCCCCATTGACAACAAGCAGTGAGTTGTAGTACTCGGGAGAGGATCCACGTGGTGAGCCCGAAGACCCGACCTTTTCGGGATAGCCGACGGCGACAGTGCAATCGTACTTGAGAGCATTTGTCCGTGCCCACAATGCACTGATTCCAGATCCTGATGGTTCGAGGAAGGGCTGGATTTCTTCCAGGGACTTGAAGTTGTATCCTTTTAACAGTGTTAGTTCCTACGTTGAATGGATGCCATGGTAGATGGGAAAGTAGAAGCTGCTTACCAGAAAAAGCCATCTCGGGAAGGACAAGTAGGTCTAGATCCTCCAATTCCCTCTGGTTGGCCTTGGCCAAGACGGCGTCGGCACGACTGAGGTTGTTGGAGACATCCCCGACCTGGGGTGCGAACTGAAGACACCCGATCCGCATGGTGGTCGAGTATAGACTTGTAAGTTGGTGTTTCTGTTATTTTCCCAGTAGACTTGGATTATTATTTGGTCGAGCGCGCTTTGGTAGCGCAGCAAGCTTTGTCTCGTAACTGCCGTAGACGCTGCTTTAGTGCTGACCTTGGCGACTGCGAGGCCGACGGATCGCAATAAGTCGAATTCTCCAGTGTTGATTGTTGTTGACGAACGAAGAGATATCTAAACGGTCTCCGTGAATGGTCTGAAGGGGGCGGTTGGAGCTGTGCCTCGTTTTTCTGGATCAAAAACAAAACAGGCGAGAGAGATTGGCGTAAAGGGAAGAGGCGTCGGTTCCTTCCTTCGTTGTGTTGGAATCCCCTTGGGTCATGAGCTGGAAAGTGTGGTAACACGGGGGCGTCTTGGACCTGCGCTGGGATATTTTTGGACCCTTTTCCTTAGGAAGGAATGTATGCGGGCGTCGAGGTGGTGTAAGAGGCACGAACTGCACTCTTTCGAGTTCGATGCAACTGAAAAGAGTCGGAAGCAGGAAACAAGTGGAAGATGGAGACGATGGGCGCATGGAAGTATGCAACACAGCAGGACGCTTCCACCCCGTACCTACAGTTTGTGTCACGGTTCGTGCTTTATTCTTTCGGGCGATGAGAAAATCAAGCGTGAATGGCCAGCAGACTTGCCATCATATTGCCGTCTTGCCGCCTCCATAAAGCGAGTGGGATGCTTAAGATGGCACGATGGGGTCTGCGTCTGTTAGGCTTCTTCAGGTAGACTACGGGGTACCCTCACGGCAAGATTTGGTTGGTCGGTACCTCGCCTCGTAACTTGGCTTGCCCCTGGAGATCTCGGCAGCCTGCGCTAGCGGGACGGGCAGCGCTGAGGGTCACTGCCAATGTTGTGCGAGAAGAGAGTGCGGATCGCGAGAATCATGGCAAAATGTGATCAAGTTGTCAAGGGCCTCATCACACGCTGTCTTCACAGATTTGTCTAGACTGGTCACATTAGCAAAGCTGAATGGCGAACCGAGCACGCCGAATCAGGAACACGAACGAGAAATTGTCCGAATAAAAGGGAATCAAGCAAAGATAAGCCACAACATCCAATGGCTTTTCTCAGGTGTTTTGTGTCAACTGTTCCCAGGGGCACCCGCATGACATGAGGCGGCTCGTCAGTGCAAGTCAAGTGTTTGAAGCTTCCCCGCTCTTACAGATCAAACTGTTCGCGGGGGAGTGCCCTGCATCATTCATCAACACCTCGTGTGGTTAGATATCAGTTCGTGATGACAGCGAACGAAAGCGAACGAAAGGAATGTGAGAAGGCAAAGTGACTGTGACGGCAGCGACATGCGAGATGGTCAAATGCAGGTCCAGACTCGATGCCCATGTGTCGCCCAATCCGTAGAGGCGTGATCTCGTACTGTGATTGGCCAGAAAGCGCTAATGAACTACCCCATACTGTCAGGTTCGTTTCAACCTCCATTCAACTATCCTATCAACTCCTTCACGCCAACATCCAATCCCAAGTTCAAAGACTGACCAAACACATCTCCGAGTTGAACATCAATCCAACATCAATTTCTTTCATCATTTGCATGCTATCCGCCCATATCACCAACGAGCTCGGACCAACTTTGATCTTCAACAAGCCTTTCTTTCATGCGGCGCCATCCAAATGACCGTCAACTAGCAATGCCACCCAAATCCACACGTCTTGCACGAGTTGGGCATGGTCACTTGCCGCCTTCCGGACTCCGGAGTCGCTCTCAACGTCACTCGACGATTCCAAACATCTCAGGTTTTTGTACTCAGTCATGGATAACATCTCTGGCCGTTCCAGACCGAGTTGGAAAGGCCAAAAAGAGCCAACTAGTCCTCTGGCAACCAACTATAGAACGTCATGAAGTCGTGGTCATCATGCCGTTGATACAGTGCCTGTCTCCAAGTGGAAACAGCATGCTGGGAGGATGAGGTTGGTCATGGGCAGACAGGCCTACCGGGCTGAGAGGGTATTTGTTCTACTTTGCACTCTGGAGAAACAACTCGTTGTCATGATATTCGGTTATTCCAATTTGCAAACCTAAGCGTTTGGTGTCTTTGGCCGAGATGGAATTCGGGAATTTCGAAAGGCGTTGCCCACAACGAGCGAGTGTGATCTCAGCACGTCTCACAAATTCAATTCAAACGCTGTAGTCTGCCAAGTGGTATATACTACATTGAGATCTTTACCTTCTACCCTTTATTCCTCACATCTCACGAGTGGTCTTGGAACTTTGATCTGCTCGTGAACAGGGGGAGGTAAATAGCAGGGTTGGGGCCAAACATCTTTCCTATTTTATATCATGACAGACAGGAAGAATCCATACTGCGACATGAATGCCTTTCAAAAGCTGCATTATGAACTCAAGAGGTCCTGTGCCTGACAGTGCTGCAGTCAGCAAGTGAGACGGGGTACGGTAACATTTAAGGCGATTCATAGAGCAACGGAAAGGGCTTAGCGTGACGTTGGGAATATGGCCTGGTCCTTTCTTGGCCGCCAAACACCTGGTCCCCTTGGGCACACACACCTCTGATATGGACGTCCGGACGCGTCGTTCAGGTCCATCGATTTTTAACGTTTTTAACGATTGAACACCGCGTATTCAATGCGTGCGAAATCAAAAGGATAATTCATAATAATGCTTCTTATTGTTATAAGATGGATTAATTTTGAAGGGCGCACCGGGTATACGCGGGTAGTAAATCGAATCGCGGCCTTTTTTCCGATCGCGCTTCGAAAAGGATATCAAAACAGACAATATTAAAACGCCTTTTTCAACCAAACCAAAGTTATTCCTATCTTCCTAGTCAACTACTATAGCGCAAAGGCAAACTATATGCTTTCTAAGTTGTACCAAGTCTGATTCCGAATATGAAGTCATTTTTCTTATATCTCGTCATTTGGAGGAGATGCATCAAAAAGTTCCCAAAACGCCCAACTTTTCGACGTTCATACTGTATCAGAGGTGTGTGTGCCCAAATGGCCAATGCCGCCAAGACCGGATCAGGTGTTTGGCGGTGGGAATAGTTGCAATTGCTACACCTTGGCAGGTAAGCCGTTACATAGTGTTGTCGGAACGATGGGGTTCTGGTGAGGTGGCTACAAGGCAGATCCTCAGGGTTGCGACTAATGAGCTCGATAGGCACATGGGCAGAACTGGGTGAGTCTTTCATATAAAGCCTCGAAAGTGGTGCTTTATGTGGCTTCGTTGTCATCTTCGTTTGGCATCGTCGGCTATTACGGAGGGATCCAAAGAAACTCAATCATGCCGAAGCAAGAAGTTTATCACCTCCATTCCTTCGGGTGGGAGAACGATCCAGAGGAGGAAAAGCTCAAGCTCTCTACCCTCGACTATATCTCGCTCAGCACATACAACAACTATTGCCTCTTCTTCAGGCTTGATGATGCTCTCAAACCCAGAGCTGTTCAAGTCCTCAAAGAAAGGCTCGAGCGGACGTTGAGCCAGGCCAGATACCTGGTTGGCAGAATCGAAAGAGATCCCGAGGGCGGCCATCACATCTTGAGGAAGAGAGACGACACGGTTGAGTTCCACGTACAATGGCTCGACGCCCCTGAGGATGCAGCCAAGTATCCATCCATCGACGACATGGAGCGGACGCACTTCAGTACCGTGACTCTGGGTGACCTCAAGCAATGGAGCGTCTTGCCCATGACTTTCGGAGAGAGCCCCGAGGCACACATTGAGAACCATCCCACCGTGTCCGCCTTCAAGATGAACTTCGTTCGGGGTGGCATGTTGTTCCACATGCACCATCACCATTTCGCCGCCGACGTCATGGCCTGGTACGGCTACGCAAGGCAGATAGCCGAGAACTGCCACGCCATCTTCAACGGAACACCATTCCCATCCTGGGACCCTGCAGCCCTCGATCTCTCACGCCTTTGCAAGCCCCAGCCGTCACCGGAAGCCATGATCACCGTGCCTCCGAGAGTACAGCGCCATCCAGCTCATACCAAGGGCGTGTCACTGCTCTTCCACCTCCCCAAGAGCAAGGCGGCCAAGCTAAAGAACCTCTGCGCGCCCGCGGACGGCTTGGTCCCCTTCATCTCCACCTACGACTGCGTCAACGCCTTCATCTACCGCACCCTAACCCGTCTCCGCGCCCCCGTGTACAACTACCCCTCCGACACCAAGCTCTTCTGGGGCGAAACTATCGACATGCGTCGGCGCCTCCAGAACCCCAAACCCGCCCCCCGCGTCCGCGGCAACGTCATGTTCTGCGCCCTCTCTACCAACTCCGCCGTCGAGCAACCAACCCTCGCACAAGTGGGCTTCCGAATGGTCCCTCTCCAGGCTGGCGACCTACATCCGGCAGATGACGGACAGCGTGACGCCCGAGGCGCTGGACACGGCGCTCGAGATGGTGAACATCGTAAGCAACAAGGCAGATCTGGGCCTGAGCGTGGACGGGACGCCGCCCATGTCCATTATGACGACGGATCATCGCGATTGTCACTTTGGCGATGTGAGCTTTGGGTTTGGCACGCCGTTGGCGTATCGCCTTCTGGCGGATTGGATCATGAATGGGCTGGTTTTGTTTTATCCGCCGAGGGATTTGTCGCCGGAGTCGGATGAGGGGGTTGAGTTTATTGTTTACTATGAGAAGACGTTGGTGAAGGCGCTGATTGAGGATCCGGAGTGGTGCGAGTTTATGGAGTATAGGGGTGTGGAGGCGGAGGATTCTGTGGTGAGGGAGGGTGATGATGAGGAAGACGGTGAGGTTGTTGAGAAGGTTATGGTGGCGGGGGATAAGAAGGGGTGGATGGAGACTGTGACGGTGGAGGAAGTGCCACCTACGCCTATCGCGTAATCTGTCTTTCAAAACATACCTAATCGGATAATGTTTTTCTTCCGTTGAATGACTTTCACGATATGAACCACGAATCGTGCAGCCTGAATTCTCTTTATCCCCCAGTTGTCTGCAGTCCCAGCTCTGTAATAACATTACACGGTCTTTCCTTGTACATCAGTACTCGCCAAACTTGAAGCCAAGGTAGACAGATTCGGAGAGCAAGGCTCTCAAGTTATCTACCCCTCGCTCCCCAGAACCGAGGGAGATCCCGCTATCCAGCGGCACAGAAGACCGAAGAGACCGTTCAGGTTGCCAGCGCCGCCACACACGTGCGTCTTACCGTCATGTTCCTTCTGTCGGGGACTTTGTTTCAGGCGGGTTTTGAGACATATTTCCCTTTTGGGATAACAGTCTCAAAGTGGTCTTAACAGCGACGTCCCGCTTCCCCCGGGATTGTCAAAAGAACCAACGGCATACGCAAGTGTCCTTGGGTTGTAGCACCTCCATCAGGAAAATGATCTCGGATTGAAACCTAGCATTGGAATCTCGGATTGAAATCTCGGATTAGCCTTCTTGCCATTGGATTGGTCACCGATATCTTTCAAGTTGACAATTGGAACAAAGAGGTTGTCGACGAACTATCTCAATCGAGTCATATAAAATCATCCAGAGCCAGATGATCCAGTGGTTCACAACTCATCCTTCCATCTGTCTTTCACCATCGTCATCATCCTACTCAAATCGAATCATACCACCTATTCCAACCAACAGCCAAAAGAAACAAAAGTGCACACCTCATTCAGCATCACCTACTCACTCAACAAACAGCCAACCACCTCAACGTCTACGCCCACCACGATCCAGAACCGCCCAAAAAAAACTTCACCTTCAACAACTCCCGTACAACCATCCCATCACCACACCAGTAACCATGGCCGCCACCCCAGCAGAATCCAGAATCCAATCCCTAAAACTCCGCTACTGCCGCTACGTCGACACCCAGCAATTCCCCCGCCTAACCTCCCTCATCCTCCCCTCTTGCACCTTCAATTTCATCGACTACTTCTCCTCCTCTCCCATCGTCGAACCGTCCGCCTCCGGGCCCGTGACACTCGGGTTTGACTCCCTGGCGTCCTGGACCTCTTACTTCTCCGAGAAATTCAAAGGCCTCCGGACGATGCATTTGATTTCGGGCGCGGGGGAGTTCACGAAGATCAGCGAGGATGAATATGAGGTTATTTTTCCGGCGATTTATCATGCGGCGCCGAAGGAGGGGGAGACGGGGTGGCAGGGGGCTGGCGGGGGACATTATTATGAGAGGTGGGTGAGGAAGGGGAAGGAGGGAGGGGAGGGGGAACAAGGGGAGGATTGGTATATGAAGAGTTTGAGGTTTGAGAGGTTGTATTGGAAGTATGTGGAGTGAGTGTGAGTGAGGGAGGCAGATGGGAAGGTTTTGCGAAGTGGTTGAAATGGGTCTGGCGCTGGTGGATGGAGATTGAGGGAACAGAGGGGGAACAAGAAGGAAAGACGCCGTCATTATGTCTCTATGGCCTGAATTGAAGGGATCATCAGGAAAAGGGAAGGACGAGGAGAATAACATCGGATGTATATGGCACTTTGGACTGTGGTGTTGATTGGATCTTGCTCATGGCGTCGTTGAAAGCCGCAAGTGTTTCTCTGCTGAGAGTTGACTGATTTGTTGAAGAAAATGTCAAACTATGAAACGTGAAGTTACGATGCATTTGCTTAACTCAGTGACTGGAACTCCGTCTGATACCTTCAATTCAATATCTTTGTTTATGCTTTAGGCACCCACTCAGCCGCTGGACATTCAGGGGTATATCTCGAGACAAATGCCGAGGGGCATCAACTTCCCATGCTTCAATTTCAAGTATGATATAACACAGATTACTCTGACGGCTCAGAAAAGGGGTGCGGGTATCCCTCCACCCGGCGGCTCGGCCCATCAATCTCAATCTCAGGGGCTCTACCCGAAAGCTGTCCGGCACTCAAACTTACATCCCTTTCCTTTCCACCATCAACTGTGCCGAAGCGGCGGTGATAGTGACAAGAGAAAAAGCTGAGCGGCAACGAACCGAAGGGGGCACCAGAAGCTCTTCACATTGCTCATGTCATACTCGAGACCATTGCCTCCTGTCATACCGGCGGCACGGTTGTATAACACAAAGTACTACAGCCTGCATAGAACGCCGAAGAAGCACCAGATTGCCCGGACAACAAAAGAGTGTCCAGCCCGACTGGGTGGATGGCCGGCAGACGACTTGTATGCGTGGACATATTGAGGAACATTGGGTATCACACTAGTGAACCAAGCATAGTCAAGCTTTTTGGCCAAGGTCCCGGATGTTCCGTAGGCCAGGTCTGAACGTGCTGATATCAGCAATGATGTCGGCGGTTGCAGTGATGGATTATGAGAGATTGGAACCGTGCAGCAGTACATTTGCTGCCAAGTAGTGAGCGACAAGCTGGCTTGAACCTAAGGGTTACGTTCGCTGGAGAGGCGCACTTTTAACGACATCTCCCTTTCCATACTCGGCGAGTGTCCAGGACGAGCATACATGAGGCCACGCCTCTTGCGCTCTCCTTCACGTCCACCTTCACCTATGCTTACCCCCTATTTCCTAATCTCTCGGTCTCGTGGTAAGAGATCGACCAAGGAACCGACTCGGGAGTCTAGTAAGCAACAGGCAGCGAGGTTGATACGTGGTAGTGTAGGACCGATGGCAGTATAACAAGGCCTTCAGCCGTTCGGGCCCCAGTGCCATATCACGGTGGTGTTCACTAACCATTAGTGCGCAGTACAGCGGCAATACCAAATTGCTGGGTCCATCTGTGGTGCCGTGTACTGTGTGCGCGCCGAGGCCGTGCGATGGCAGTCACTCGCTGACGGGCTGGACGATGGGACGAGACGAGAACCGCAAAGGGTGTGGCGAAAAAGGGGTAGGTGGTATATGTGATAATATGTCGTGCTTGAAGTCTTCGCCATAGTGACCTTGATTGGGTCCGGCCATGTGTTGAAGAACTCTCCGGACCATGGATAGAACACGGAATGATAATGGCTTTGACCGGGTAATATCCATGGAGCCTGTGAAGGTTGTTGTTGACTGCTAAGGAAAGGGGAAGATAATAGCACGTCGATAACAGGACAATAGTGCGGCATTGTCACATCAACTATGCGATACTCACGCTGCATCTCTTCGTCACGCACTCTGTTCGCTCATGTACTGTGTAAGTTGTAAGCGACATCAAATTCCAACAAGTGACGAGAATGGTAAAGTTCCAGCCGGCGGCTAAGGCCTGGTCGTTCCAAGTCCATAGTGGAGCTTATGATGACTTGGTTCATTTCTTTTCTTCGCTTTCGAGGAAAATGGCAAACATCGAGAGATGAAGACAAAGTTGAAAAGGAAATCATCTTCGGCATATCAGATACATACCTTAGCCAGCTCAGCCAGGTACGTACAGTGCCTCGGCTCCGGTCTCTTCCACTCGATGGTGGGTGGGGGTTGGCGGCGTTGGTTGTGTGGGATGAGATGTGAGACACTGTCGTGAATGTGCGCATCTCATCAATGTCGCGCAGCACACAGAGAGCCATCCAACGGTTGGGGTCGCTGAAATGATGACCACCTGTGTGTGACCAACGTTTCCAAGTTCCAGTGGAAGCGAGAACATGTGGTGCAATGCGAGGGAGTCGGCTGAAGACTTGGTTGGCCCAAGGCGAACAACCATCGAGGCCGCTTGCTCAAGTTGTCCTCTCTGCCCTCTCTCGCCCTCTTCTCGCAGCCACAGCCTCTCTGAGAATATCACGACGAACATCTTATGGCCATCCAACTGAAGGCCAGCCAGGAGGTGGCCTGTTTGGTCGGGCCACTTCCATTCCCACTTGTCTCCGGCTCTTGATGATCGGTAGGGCGAGAGATATCGGGAAGGAAACTGGCGATCGAGTCTTTGCCGGATCGGGAGGGGCCGTTGATGAAGAAGGAAAAGGGCATTGATGAGGAGATGATGATGTGATGTGACTGGCCGAGTTTGTCGCTGTTGCCGGACGGGACGACCCCGACAAGTGGAGCAAAAGAGGGAAGCCAGGAACCGAGCGTGAAAATGCTTGAAATGTTCACGGTGCTCAGCGATGTGCTCACTGCTCAGGCCGCCGGGGGCCCTTGCAGGCAAACCACCGCCGACGTCGCATCTCGCTCTTCTGATTGGCCAATGACGTTCCTGCGCAATGCATGGGCGGTGATGGGGCCAGAGGGTTTAGTGGTGATCGTGCCTCTTAGCTACAGCTTCCCGGCCTTGGCAAGCCCGCAAGAGTCCTCAGCCAACTTCCCAAGCCTCCATCCACAGCGCAGAACAGTCGTCCATTTCACCCCCATTTCACAAGTCAAAAGGATGGTCTCTTGTCGTCACGGGACGGGGGCTTTGGGGGACATTTCGGCAGTCGTCCCGATGCCTCCGGTGAAGTGACCTTTTCTCACCCCCATGATGGCCCATGGTTCATGGTGCCCGTGTAGTCGGCAATTTGGACCCCAATCACACCTCACTCCAGCTCTCGTCGAGTGAGCTTGTCTGTTCTGCACAGTGCGTCTTCTCCTGTATCTGCCCCTCCACTCCCTCGCCAAAAGTGACCCTGTTCTGTCAATCTTCTCCCCAACCCGTTCGGTCCCGTTCATCGTGTCCGCCACCCCCAGGCCTTCAGGGGAACGGGAACGGGGACCGTTGCTCGCTGTCGAGGTCAAAGTCTGGCAAGATCTTCTATATGCCCTGGGCTTGGACCCCAACTCAACCAATGACTTTTGTCCGAGGTGCTCGAGTCCAGACTGTCTCAATCTCACTGTGCCCTCTGCGCCTTCAAACTCTCATATCACAACTAACGAATGCCTGCCTCCGACGACCTTCCCGTCTTTTCAACATCCTTCCCGTCTTGATCACGGCTATCTGGGTCCCCTGTCAGAAACCAACAGCCGCAATTCTGTCAGCTAAAGAGTGGATAAGTACCTGCTGTAAAGTCTCCGGTTAGCATCGTCACTTCTCGCGCCAACAAGTTTCTGTTATATACCTTGTTTTCTTTGATAACTGGCGCGCAGCCCTATCCCACCCCGCGCTTTATCCCCTGCCTCCTGCTTTGCTCGCTCGTGACACGAAGCAGGCCGGTCGACTCTCTTCTACGCACCAACTGCGGATGATAGCATACCAGCCATGTCGTACAGAGAAACCCTGTGGCGATAATTCAGCACTTTCCGTTACCCGCACCGAATCTCAGCACACAGCATATTCTCATACGTCCGGGCGATAGAGTGGGAAGGACGGAAGATAGGAAGCGTGGCGCGGAAAAACGATACCACTGGACCGGATATCGGACAAGCAACGTCAAGCAGGCCCGCTCTCGCGGCCGACCACCAGTTTTTTTGCGACACGGGGACGTACGGAAGATATAGGGACGAAAACCGAAAAGAAGACCTCAAAAAAGATCACAGGTCAAAATGGTGGGCGGCAATGTCCGTCCGTCACTCTTCATTGTCACGGCTGCCGCGGCATTGGCACCATTGACGACGGCCATTTTCACAACTGCTGGATCACCATGCGCCCAATATTGCGGCAACACTCTAGGAGCAACGGCCGGGGATGAAACGGTGTGCACACAGAACGAATATGACATGACCAACACAGGAGCTGTGTACAAGGCGTGTATGCAATGCCAGATGACGAGTGAATACAGTCAAGGGAACAACACAGACGTCCAGTCATTTTTGTGTGAGTTGCTGCTTCAGCCAAAGAGGCACTCAATCCAACGCTAACATTCGACCTTCTCTCAGATAACCTCCGATATAATCTTGCTTATTGTCTCTGGGATCAACCGGCAGACAACCCTCATCCGGAGGCTGGAAACAACCCTTGCATCACCAGGTAAGCCAGCTCTTGTTCAACAGGCGAGTATCTATCAACTGACAAAACTTCCCATTCACAGCAAGGCATGCGAGCCTCTCAAGGCCTCGGTCTTATGGCAAAACATGACCACAAGTACCGGCGCGTTCAGCTACTGTGACAAATGGGATGACCAGGCTGTTACTCAGTGTAATCATTGTCTGGCAAATTACGACGTGGGAGGGAATTATCTGGTGAACTACGTCACTCTGTTGAACGCGTCCTGCACCCAGAGGCCCGAGGTAGGCTCAACCATATCCTTCCGCGGCGACCCCTTTGCCAACGAGTACAACAACGTCACCATCACCGACCCAGAGCCAAAGGGCCTTCCCCTGCCAGACTATGGCCCGGTATCTTTGGGCGCGCGTGTCGGCATAGCCTTCGGTGGCCTTGCTCTCATCCTGGCCATTTTGGGCTTTGGCATTGTTTGCAACGGAAAACGACGAAGACGCCGCTTCTTGCGCGAACTCGAACGTCGCAACGCCGGGCAGGGTTGGCCTCATCCCAAGACGAGGCATGCCGGGCACGGTGGCAGCGGCGGGGAAATGTTTGAGACGCCTGTCAGCCAGAGACCGCTCAGGGGCTGGGACGAGAGTCCGATCAGCGCACATACGGACGGACCGGCCCTGCCTCGGTATTTCAGCCCGTACTCAAGCCAGTACAACAGTCCCGTCAGCGCAACAGACGGAATTCCAGCTTCGGGTGTGCAGTGGCCGGGCACGCATCAACGGTTGGGCCAGATCGAGGAACGATTATCGCCCGCTGGCTCTTCGGTAGCAAACGGTGCCTCTCCGCCGCCGCCGCCCTTTTCTCAGTGGCCCAGCCCCGTCACGCAGCAGAGCATGATGGCGCACTTGCAAAGTCAACATGAGCAGCAGCAACATGAGCAGCAGCAACATGAGCAGCGGCAACGGGAGATTGCAATTGGCATTGCGCTGGGTGGTGAAGACGCCAGTTTGCGATCCAAGCCGTCGAACTCCAACCTAGGATACGAGAGTAGCGGGAAGGGCAAGGGACGAGATGAGATGTACGAGATGCACGAGGTGGAGAGTCCGTACAATAACAACAATACCGGCAACGCTGGTGGCGATGGCACAGGAGGGTACTACCAAATGCCGGCTCAGCCTCAGGCACCGGTCCTGCATCACCCGGGCTACGGAAGAGCTCATGGATCCAGGCCGGGCTCGAACGGGTCAGCAGGAAGTGCTCAAAGGGCGGAAACCGGTCTGGGAGTCATGCAACAGCAATCCTTCCAGCAACACCTGCAACAGAAGCAGCAGGAGAATGGGTGGACGGAGGTGGGGGTAACTAGGGGACATGCGTCATAACGCTCACCATCACCGCCCAAACGGACCATGTTCAGTTCTTTTGTTGGCGAGGTCTACGGTTAAGACAAGTACAAATACCCTGGGGTTCGGATGGAGTTCGGATGGGAAGAAACCTATGATTGGGATACGGGTATCCTAATCACGTACCGACGTCACAGATGCCTTTCATAGGCTGATTTGAAGACCCTAGAGACACAAGTGGAAGCCAGGATTGCTTCACCGTTGTAGTCGATCTGAGTGTCTAGACACATTAATGGAAGTCAAAAGACCAAATTTGTCGAGTGCTGCCTGGACAGCCGTTTGAATTCCACGTGGGCACAAAAACTTGAAGTCATGTGAACGTTGAGGCGAATTGTCTAGATTGTCGTAAGCGTATCATTTGCCTGAAATATCTTCCGATGATGACATTCATCCCATGTATCAGAACAGTTCGCGATAGAAGGAGCAAACAAAGTCTGTGGACGGCATTGGCACTCCCAATTGAGGGTTTCAGGGACCAATTGTTGCCAATTGGCCGCGCACAGGGCACCTGTGAGATGGTTTGTCGTCAACCCCGCTGGGCAGGCACGGCAGGCCCCATTGAAACCCCACACTGAACGGGTTAGCGCGGCGAGGCTGCAGTTGTGGCACCGGACGAAGACCCCACATTGGCCCAAAATGCAAAAGGCTGAGGAAAAAATTCAGAGCTTGGATCAACGCAAAAGCTCCGCCGCCTTTTTTTTTCGGCAAAAAGTGGAAAAAAGTGATCGCAAGGTCAAACGGTCTTGATCTTGAATCCTCGACGTGCCCACTCCGAGCCGTGCTTTGCCTACCGACTCTTCCTCTCGACTTTCTTAATTTCCTTCGTGAAACCAAACAACCCGCGACCGAAGCCATTTCTTCTACCGGTTCGCGGACGTTGATTACACGAAAAGATCATCATCATCGATTCCCAATTATCACCAACAACAAAGTCAGAGTATTCAATCGCAAAACAACAGTCAAAATGGGTGCCGAGACAGAACACGTTATTAAGCCCCAGGCCACCGAGCCCGCGGTCGACACCAGCGAGTGGCCTCTTCTCTTGAAGAACTACAGCAACCTCCTCGTCCGTACCGGCCACTTCACCCCCATCCCCGCCGGTTCTTCTCCCTCCAAGCGCGACATCAAGTCCTATGTCTCCTCTGGTGTCATCAACCTGGTAAGCCTTGCCATTTGCGAAATTGATCCTTCAATATCATTCTTTCGCAATCTGAGCGCATGCTAACTCCTACCAGGACAAGCCTTCCAACCCCTCCTCCCACGAAGTTGTCGCCTGGATCAAGCGCATGCTCCGGTATGTATTCAACACGCAAGAAGAGACGAATCTCACTGCTGGTATCGGGCTTATGCTGATTGCAATTCTTCCATAGTGTTGAGAAGACTGGTCACTCCGGTACTCTCGATCCCAAGGTCACCGGCTGCTTGATTGTCTGCGTCGACCGTGCCACCAGACTCGTCAAGGCCCAGCAGGGTGCTGGTAAGGAGTACGTTTGCGTTATCCGCTTCCACGACAGCGTCCCCGGCGGCGAGGCTGCTTTCGCCTCGGCCCTCGAGACCCTCACCGGTGCCCTCTTCCAGAGACCTCCTTTGATCTCTGCCGTCAAGCGCCAGCTTCGTATCCGCTCCATTTACGAGTCCAAGCTCATCGAGTTCGACAATGACCGTCACCTCGGTGTTTTCTGGGTTTCTTGCGAGGCCGGTACCTATATCAGAACCCTCTGCGTCCATCTTGGTCTCCTCCTCGGTGTCGGCGCCCACATGCAGGAGCTCCGCCGTGTCCGCTCCGGTATCATGTCCGAGGACAACGGTTCCATGGTCACCCTCCACGATGTCCTCGACGCTCAGTGGCAGTTCGACAACGGTGGCGACGAGACCGCTCTCCGCTCGGTTATCCAGCCCCTTGAGACTCTCCTTACCACCTACAAGAGAATCGTTGTCAAGGACTCTGCTGTCAACGCTGTCTGCTATGGTGCCAAGCTCATGTTGCCTGGTCTCCTTCGCTTCGAGAAAGGCATTGAGACTCACGAGGAGGTTGTCCTCATGACCACCAAGGGTGAGGCTATTGCGATCGGTATCGCCCAGATGAACGGTGTTGAGTAAGTCATGTTCCGCTTCTGACCAAAATTGTTTTCTGTGATGCTGACCATTCTCTCCTACAGGATGCTTTCTTGCGACCACGGTGTCGTTGCCAAGGTCAAGCGCTGCATCATGGAGCGTGACCTCTACCCTCGCCGCTGGGGTCTTGGCCCTGTTGCTCTCGAGAAGAAGAAGCTCAAGAGCGACGGCAAGCTCGACAAGTTCGGCCGCCCCAACGCCGAGACTCCCGCTAAGTGGACTGAGGGCTACAAGGACTTCAGCGCCGCCGCTGAGTCCGAGGCCGCTGCCGCTGCCGCCCCTGCTGCTGAGGCCGCCAAGGTTGAGATTGCTGAGAGGCCCAAGCCTGAGGAGAAGGCTGAGAAGAGCGAGGAGGCCGAGGAGGCCGGCGACAGCAAGAAGCGCAAGAAGCACGACGGCGAGACCGCCGAGGAGAAGGCCGAGCGCAAGAAGCAAAAGAAGGAGAAGAAGGAAAAGAAGGATAAGAAGGAGAAGAAGTCCAAGAAGGGCGGTGACGAGAGCGACTAAAAGATGGATAAACTTTTGTCCACTCTTGTGTTCGGGTTTGTCTAAAGTCCGTTACCCTTCTTTCTTTTTCTCTGCTATTCTTCATTGGAGGCGTTATTCATGCGCATTTGTTCATTGTCGCAACACATCGGGCTCCGGGAAAAATCAGGCGTTGGGGTAATATTCTTTGTTGCAATGTCGGTTTATGGAATTATCTTCTAGGCTTTATGATGGCGTGTCACTCGAAGCGCTCGAAGATAAATGTAGATATAGATTCACGCGTATTTGAAGCCGCACTACTGTATCGTGGTATGCCTACATTTTGATGAGCCGGGAGAGCAGCGGACAATGGTGTTTCAAGAGGTTGTGTGCGTCTTTGAAAGGAACGATCAGCTGCACAAGCGTTACGGAGCTGGTTCTTCAGCTCTCAAATCTCACCCTCATTCCAACAATTTTGCTCGCCTACGGTGTCACAATATCAACATCTGTGGCTGTCGTTGCCGTGGCGAAGCCAAAGGTCAGTTGAGCCTCAGCACCCACAGCACCCAAACAAACCTGAGCAACACCAGATCATATAAGAAGAAGGAAATGTTAATAGCATGCATGAAGTCATGTTTCCGTGCCACAATATACCTCGAGACACGTACATAGGTCGGGAAATGGGCCGGCCGTTAGCCACCCCGCGTGGACATAGCCGCCCGGCCATCTAATCTACGCGCCGGGACGTGGGGAGATCTGGGAGCACGGCAGCTTGGAATGTGCAAAAGGGCAATGTACCCCGGCTACCCTTGACCGTCTTTTATTCTTTCCAATGAAATAACCGCAACTTCATGGCCCTCCTCATCTACTTCCGGATCTCAAGTCTGCCATGAGATACCGCAACACACAAGTGTGGTGTTCAAAAATGCCCTCTTTTCGACTGCCGTCGGGGGCAACATTCCGATACTTTCCATCCATAATACCACCAAACAACGTTGCGTGATGTCATGAAGATAAAGATAGATGGGAAGATGCACGATGAGAGTCGTTCGTTGCTGAAAGGACTTGGAGTGATTAATCGGACCGCTAGAAGCAGCCAGAGCTGACTGCAGACGAACGGCAACGAACACCCACACTCACCCAAAGAACGGAACCGAGAAACATTTTGCATCATTTCCTCTCCGAAATAGCTTGGGAAGAACAAGATGCAAGTAAGACGTGCAAAATAGGGTTGAGTGGGTAACACACGGCACACAGGCACGGCGCTGGGGGAAGCAAGGGAAGTAAAAGTGATGGTAAGCTTCGTCTGACCGTGTTGACGTGAATGATGTTTCTCGGCGGGTAACTTTATTGATCAACATGTGTTCCTGAAACAATGGACGAATCGGAATCGAGATGTCGGCTGCGTCTCGTTAAGCTCCCAGCAAGCCAGTCTACTTTTAGACTAGTATACTGCTTGGCGGAACAGTCAGGTTGCAGTTAAACCGCTTTGGGTAACCTCGAAGCGCCCGTCGTCGTGGTCCACGGCGGTCGTTCTTAACTTTTTCTCTGCGAAGAACCACACTTCTTGACGAGGAGAAAGGGGTGGGAGTGGCTACATACTAGTACAAGCGCTGATGGCCGCAGAGAAGGCCGCTCTTTCCAGATTCCTGGGACTCTCTTCTCATCCTCGTCCGACGAGACTTATGAGTTCGACGATGGACATGTGGTCAACATGCCATTGATCTTCGTAACTGACCATCATGATAGCGGCATCGAGGTTCAACGACCACTCAAGCGGTCTTGTCAACATCGCCGCATCGGATTCAGCATCTGACAATCCACAATCTCTCGCTTTTCGAAGCGTATACAAAATTCTTTGCCCGTGACCAGAAGGAAAAACACAACAGAAGCCCATCTGGATCAGTAATCCACATGTATCCCCGGGGCTAGATTCGCTCAACGCTACAACTGCCGTGCTTGCCATACATCGGAACTCGGACAGCATCATGATTGGTGCGCTGACGAAAGACACAAGACCCTAGAGGGGATCGTCCGCGGCAACAGTTCAGGCACACAAGAGTCTTCAAGGCCATCACGCACACCTCCAAACCTATTCCACGCTGAGTCCCCGGATCCGCCATGCAGGTTTCCTGCTCGTCACAGCCGCTCACTACCCACTCAACCACCTTTAAACAACCTTGAGTATAGTGATCTAGTGGTGCCCACCTCGATAGTGCCATCCACTTCGGGGAATCTTCACAAGATGGGCGGCACAGGATCGCTTCTCTCTCTCTTACATGTGGTAGAGGCTAGAGACAGAGGCTCATTCATATTAACTTGTGCCCCGGCTTTTCTTGCTCCTTCGCCGTTGATGTGCTTTTGTCTATCATAATATTCTTTGCTTTCTCAACCAGTCGTTCACTAACTTTCCGACTTCCCGGCCTGGTGCCCTTTGATATCATATACTTTTAATCAACCCAATAGATTATCGTCAGTCAACCCTTCTACGACTCTCATACCAACATCTCGTATCCATCACCGAATTATTCAACCAACTCCTCGTCTGAACACCCTGAAACAATTTACAAGATGAAGGCCACTAGCCGAGCAACGAGGAGCAAAACAGCAACTGCTCTCCTTTCCTTTCTTCTTGTACCTCAACTCGCCAGCGCACTACAAGTTACACCAAATTCTCCGTGCGCCTCAGTATGCCTGGACTCGCCGGACCTCGATCGATCAGATCCCAACTCCTTCAACACGAAAAACAAGGATATCATTTGCAAGGATGGGACAGTCGACAGCCCGGCGGGAAGTAAATGGAAAGACTGCATGACTTGTTTACAAACAAGTCCATTCTCGCAGGACTCTGAGACTGATCAGATGTGGTTTCTTTGTGAGTTCACTACTTAGATCCTGGTATAAGTTTGTGTTGTGTGTTAGCAGCAACTTACTAATGACACTTTACATAGACAACCTGAGATACACCTTATCATATTGTCTCTTTGGTTATCCCAACGCTACAGATGTCGAGACAACACCATGCAGCACATCCATGGCCTGTGGTCCTCTACAACAGAGTGTAGAGCATGGTATTCCTGACCCCAAAGATACCACGGCATCTTCATACTGCTCGGCAGACGACGGATATGCATCGGATCCTGCCATCTATGGGCATTGTACCTCATGCTTGGTAGCTGGAGGGGATTCCAACTACCTGGCCAATTGTAAGAAACAAAGGAATACCAAGCTGGGAGGGTTGACATATACTAACCAACGACTTTCTGTCTCTTAGACTTCACCGCCCTAGAAGCCGGCTGTCAATACAAGCCCGAAGCAGGAAGCGTCATCGGCCTAAACGACACCATCTTCTCCACCTCTCCCGTCGGCATCGTCGACCCCTCGAGTGTCCTCAAGTCCGAAGAGGGTCCTGCGATCTCCACCACTATCATCGCCGTCATCGTCTGTATCGCCGTGCTCGTGATCCTCATCATCTCCGCCGTCATCTTCATCTGCCACCGCAAGCGCAAGAACCGAGCAGCGCGCGCCAGCGCCCAGCTCGATTACGCCGAGAAGCGCGTCCGGTCCCGACACCAGCGGCAGTCTTCGCTCTCCTTCCAGTGCCAGACGCATGTGCTTTCGCCGCGCTTTTGGCCTGCTGCCTGTGAGGGGGGCGTGTCTCAACCTGGTGAGGGTGGAGGAGACGAGACGATGATGACGGATCCCACCAACGGCAATGTCGATACCACAAGGCCCCTCTCTCACCAGTCCGAACACTCATCCCCCGGCACACCGGCTAGAGGACTTGCAACCCGCCGCGTCACCAGCTGGAAGCAACACAATTCTTTAATCTCGACGGTAGCTGAGGACCAAGCATGGGAGCACCACCAACAACAACCCCAACAACAACCCCAACAACAACCCCAACAACAACCCCAACAACAACCCCCCTCAGGCTCCGATAGTAGAAGCGCCACCAACCCCCTCGGCCTGCACACCCTAACAACCACCAACATCCCACGCTCGCCCACCCGCGCTTACTACGGCGCCGGCACTCCTGCCACTCCCGCGACTTCCAACACATACTACAGCCCCTCTCCAATGTCCGCCGACTCCGTCCGGAGCACCGCCGCCTTGTTGCCTTCCATTCAGCCTTATACCCCATCTGATCATCAGCATCAGAATCAGCAAACTCCGCAACTCCACAGCGCCAGCACCTTCGGTCCCGGTCCCGGCCAGCAAAGTCCATGGTCAGCAACGACAGCTAGTCCGTTGTTGAGGAATTATGGGTGGCCTTTGCCTGTGCCCCAGCCCCAGCCCCAGACCCAACCGGGAAACGAGCAGCAGCGACGGTTTAACGGGGCAATTATTAGCGTGACGACGCACGGCATTCCGCCGCCGTCGCCGAGGAGTCCTAGGTTTGGTGGTGGAAATGTGAGGAAGCCGGCGGCGGGAAGTCCGGTTGAGAGTGTGGCGATTCGAACGACGTTTGATGCGCCACCGAAGAGTCCTAGGAAGTGAGGAGGGGCTGAGTTGTAGATGACTAGATGTATGTGTATAGTTAGGAATGATAAAGGATACCCGACCGAGATGATGATAATGAACTGGCTTCTTCATATGCTCGCTAGAAAGTTGCTCTGTGTTTAGAGATGAAAGTATACCTTGAAGAGTTGCCTGCTTGTACGAGTCAAGAAGAGTGAAAAAAAAAAAAAAAAAAAAAAGAATGAGGACGGGTTTGGGTATCATCACTCTTGGTCATGCTATGTATGGTTTTGGTTTGGTAGGTCTCTTGAAGCAGCTAAAAAGCAGAAGCAAGTGTAATCCGTGCGCCGAATGCATGCAAAAGCTCCCATCTCCCCTCCCTATCTATGTTTAATGCGTTACAATCTACGCCTGGCTTCGGCTTCTGTTCAGCAACCTTATGATGTGATCTCATATTTGAGTTCAATCCTGTCTCGCTCGTCTCCCTTCATCAATGATTCTCCAATTCCTCATCCCCACTCAATGCAAGTAATACCTCTAAGACTTCCCACCGCCCACCTCCTCCCTCCACATCCCCTTATCGCTATCCAGCTTATCCATCGTCTCCCTCAACTCCCTCAGCATCCTCTGCGTCTCCTCCACCGCCGCGTTTGTCTCCTCTCTCGTTGACAAAGCAGCGGTACTGCCTCTGCTGACCGCCGAAGCAGCATAGTATGCCTTCTTAGCCAAGGGTGGAGAATTATCTGGTCGTCCTTGTCCTTGTCCTTGGGCAGCAGGAGAACCTTCAGCCGCCGCCGCCGCCGCCGCCTCATCGTTCGCCAAGTCTCGCTTCCTCTTTCTGTCGAGAATGGCGCTCCAGCTGGCTTCTCTTCTAGAGAATGGCCGAGCTGTCGCTGAAGCGGCAGAAGGCGTGGGTGACGGACGAACGGCGGGAGATCCCGTGCCACTGACTGCTGGCGATCCGTATCCCATTCTTGCCTTGAGTTTGGCAAGTCTGCTGGAGGTGCTGTAGTCGGCGGGCGGTTGCTTGGGTGTTTGCTGGAGGTGTTGCTGGAGGGGAGTGGAACCGGTGAGCCTTGCAACTCTCAAGCGCCAACTGGTCATGGAGGCGGAGTCATCCACTTCAACATCGTCTCCGTTGTCGTTGTAGGTACTGCCCATGCCCATGGACTCGTCGTCATCCGACAGGATAGCGTGTTCGGTCGATGGCCGAATGGCGGGTGAGTAAGAGTGGTTGCGGGTTGGAGGACTGGGTGGCTTGAGCTTGCCTTCTTTGATGGCGGTGGCAATCGCTTCCGGGAGCCACTGTCCGTCTGGCATCGGTACCAGTCCGCGAGCTCTGAGATCCCAGTGGCTAGTCTTGAACCCATTAGGTTTCGGACTGTTGGCGCTGGTACCTTGTCTCAGGCTGATGTTGGGCAGGCTCGTGTTTGCCAAGCTCATTCCCAGCATTGATCTCCGTGGCTGCTTGGGACCTCTCCCCTCAGTAGCTGGGGAAGGTTCGATGGAGCGCTTTCGCGGAGTGGAGAAATTGCTCGCTCGCTTGATCATGCTGTTCTCACCATTGACGCCAATTCCATTGAGTGAATGGCGGAACTTGGTGATCATGGAAGACTGAACCGAGCTGCCGCCGACGGATGAGAAGCTTCCCCTAGGGCCTCCCAGACCGAACTTTTCGCGCAGCGCCCGCGTCTTGCCACCTTCTTTGCTGGCGGTACTTTCCGGTGAACCTGCCAGTGAGCCTCTGAGGCTCCCAGCATCCCGGCGTCTGGAGGCCGTTGATGGCGCCCGTTCAAGCTCGAAACCTGACTCTGAACCATATCCAAACGTCTTCCCTGGTTGTGGGGAGCCCCAGTCACCATTGGTCGCAGCTTCCTTGATGGCTCGGCGGACGGCTGCGCGCTCGTCACGCGCCCCAGAGAAGATACCGCTGGCAAGAAGTTCTTCCTCTACTTGCTGCTGGCTCCGCCCAACCCTGGAAGCATTCAGCGCCAATTGCTTGAGTCGGGAACCGTCGGCCTGAATCCTCCTCTTCGCTTCTATCCTTTCTTGGTTGCGTGACATCTCCTCATCTTCTTTCTTCTTCTTTCGCGCACGCTGCTCCTGTTCTCTGTATAGTCGCATCTTCTCCTTTCCTTCACGAAGAATTCGTCTCTGTGCCAACTTCCTGGCAGCTTCCCGCCACCGGTAAAAGTATTTGAGCTGTAGCCGGTCTCTCATATGTGCACGTGCTTCTCTCCACGACTGTTCGTCTTCCTCTCTGCGCCTGCGCTCAGCTTCCTCTTTCAAGTGCTGATTGAAGGCGCCCTCTACCAATTCTTGAAGGTAGTGGGCTGTAAACTCTTCCAGCACGCCGCCGTCACCCATGACAATCCACTTCGCAAAATCACCCATCAAGTCCCTCGGAGGAGCAGGTTGCGAGGGAGAAACTGTGGATTGCGAGGGCTGCGAAGGCGGTGCCGTAGGAAACAAAGACGAAGCAGAACCATCATTGGATGTGCCCTTGATTCCAAAAGGTGGGTTGGAAGCGGCCTGCGGAGCAAAGACTGTTGATGGCTGTGTTGCGGGTGGAGTGGGCGCCGTGCTTTCGACTGGCTTGGGAGGGACGGAGAAGACTGAGGGTGTTGTAGGTATCACCGAAGGCGTCCCTGGCAGTTGGGTTTGCGTAGGCACCGCCGGGGTACTGGCCTGTTGTTGTTGTTGTTCTGTTCCTGCGGTTGCAGTGAAGCTAAGTAGAGGTTTAGGGCTAGGTGCTGTTGGAGCAAACGTAAATCCTGAAGGCGTTTGCTGTGTGGTCTCTGAGGATTTGGCTGGAGCAGTGCTCGTATTCTGGTTTGAAAGAGACGCGAACGGGTTGGCCGGCGCACTGCCCGAACTGAAAACGGAAGTGGCCGGAGCAGGCGAGTTCGATGTGATCGGCTTCGAAGTATCTGCTGCTGGAGCAGTGGGCACCGAGGAGCTTAGAGATGGGTTTGCCGCTTGAGGCTGTAAAAAGTTGAATGTCGGTTGCGGGGTTTGAGAGGCCTGTCCGAAGACACTTGTAGGCTTTGGAGCCGGAGCCGGACTTGAAGTTTGAGTCGCTGGTGGCACGGCTGATGGTTGACCGAACATGGCGAATGGACTGGCGGCCTGTTGTGGTTGTTGAGCTGGCGAAGGGCGAGAAAAGGGACTCGAAGTCGTTACACCAGTTGCTTGAGGCGAGTTAGTGGTTGTATTTCCTGTAGGGGGGTGATTGAGCGCACCGAAATCTTTTATCGCTGTTTGGAACATTGGTGTGCTCTCAGGCGCCTTGGTAGTTGGCGGTGCAGCTCCAAACATAGACGTGAATGGTGATGATGAAACGACATCTTGAGGTTTGTTGGCTTGTGAGATAGTGAAAGCAGGCAAAGCTTGCTGAGAGTTAACAAAGAGACCGCCGCCATTAGCATCTGAGTCCCTTTTGGAAGAAGTATTTTCGGCAACATCTTCGTAAATCGTGTTGTAAATGACATAGGGTAGCGATTGTCCAGCTCGTTTCCGTTCGACCAACTGCCCAGAGTAGGACTGGGGAACTCTAGGCGATGGGACATGCTTCCTCCTGTTATTCAGGAGAAGGTATGGCTCGGATACTGCTGGCTTTCCCGGGGGCACCCAGGTGGTAAACTCGAAATTGTGCTCCTCGGCGAAGGCAACAGCCTCCTCATCAGTGTCGAACCTCAACATTTTATTGAGATCGGACGCAGTGATTGTCCTAGGAGCATCGCGTTGGCGCGCATAAGCCTTGACCAGATTCTTGAGAATGCACTGGCGGACAAAGGTAAAGTGAACCTCTGCAACACAGGCCATGGTGTATGACACTCGCGGGTCTTCGACGATGGCGAAGAAGTTGGTGAAGGCGGTGTCGGACATGGTCGTCATTCGGCGTGGTTTGATAGGTCCCTTTGACTCCCGCAAGTCTTCCATGACCTGGATGAGAGATAGTGCTGTTTGGATCTCTTCGGACTCAAACCAATACTCCTTTCCCCACGTACGAATCCTCTGTGCTATAGAGGGATCGTGTGCGTTGAGAAGTAGGTAATAAGCTCTGAATTCCGCCTCATTCTCGCAAAGGACGTGTTTCTCCTTGCAGACGTCGTATGCCTCCATCAACGAGAGGATGGTCCTGCCCAGTTGCTCAATTTCTTGCTTCTGCTCGAAATCCTCATTTGCAAACCCCTTCCGAGACAACAGATGGAGAGCCGTGGCGTGGAAGCGAGTGATGGTCTCGAAACAGTAGACCATGTCCTTCATCTCTTCTGCCGACTTTTGCGAGTGGAATGTGAAGTCCTTGCGTACTGCTCGTGTGCGATCCCAGAGGTAGTTGTGCATGGATGGTAGGTTGTTCTCAGACTGTAAAAGGTCGTTAAAGAGGTAGTCGGTGGTTCTTCGTAAAGCGTCGATAGAGCGGACATCCATAGGGAGCGGCGCATCTTGACCGGCTGCAGATCGACCAAACTTCTTCACCATCTTCGAAGGTTCTGGCCAAGCCGTGAGACCGCCGGGCTGGGATTCCTTCTCTTCGTTCTTGACATCGAATTCGGCGATACGGGAGATCTGCTCAAACTCTGGGCACATATCCTCACAGATACCCTTAAACGGTAACGCATCCTCAAGCTTCCTCCTCTTTTCCGGGTCATCGATAAGCTCGACCTTCCGTAGGGCATCATAAACGCGGGTACGGTATTTCTTGTAGGACTGCTTGAGGTTCTCAACATCGTCGCGCTTGTTAGGGTTGCCAAGTTCGGTCGTCGGCCACTGGGGTGGCTTCAGGCTGTCTTTCTTTAACTGGTCGTTGATTCTGTTGTGAAAATTATAAGCAAACTCGGACAACTCGCGTGTACGCTCGGTCGGTTCTCGAGTCGGTGCGCCAGAGGTGCTCTTGATGCCGACAGCACGCGTCGCACTCGGCTGGGTCTTCGCAGGGCGCTCATTGTTCTTCCGTTGGCCGCGCTGGAACTTGTTCGCCAGTGTCGCTCCAGCATCACGGCCGCCTGACTGTTGTGGTTGTTGCGGCGTGGCCTTTCCCTTTCCAAACATCTGACTGGCTTGTGAATTTCCGAATCCGTTGCTGGAACCAGACGGCTTTCCGCCGCCAAACCCTTGTGGCCTTTTCATGGCGTTGGCATTCGCCGCCCCAAAGCCGGTTGCTTGTTGTGTTGTGGATTGCGCGCCGAAGAATGGAGACTTGTTTCCGCCCGCAGAATTCGTCTGTCCTACTGGCTTCGCGAAAGGATTCTGAGCAAAAGGGGAGGGACTGGCGCTGGGCGCGGACGATTGCGCCTGGGCAAAAATGGGCTTCCCGAACGGATTCTGATTAGGAGCTGATGAGCTGCCAAAAACCGATGCTGTTTGGGCCGGTTGTGCGGCTTGAATTGGTTTCGCGAAAGGGTTGACAGCCGGAGCTGAAGGCGCCCCGAAGGGATTGTTAGCTGCCGCCATTATGGCTTGCTCGAGCAAGCATTTGCAGAGGTAATTGTCCGGGCCGGTGGACGAGGTATGGAAAGGTCAAGCGACACTGAATATCGTGGTAGTGTTCAACAAGAGGTGTAGACGGCGTGGTAAGCGGTATGGGCTGAGAACGTCGCGGCGCGTTTTGGCTTTTGAGTGTCGGAGACTAGATCGCGGGTGCTATATGGGAGAGATTAATGTGTGTTCTGGGTTTCGAGGGAAAAAGAGTAGTGCGCGGCGGGGTGGCAGTCGAGGGCGGACGGAAGCGATGACGAAGTGAGATGTGGGTGACGGCGGTGATGTCGTTCAAAAGTGGAAGTAAAGGTAGCTTGGTAGCAACCCGCCGACAAGAGAACAGATTAACAGAACATACAATCTCGAACAGTCCAAGAAGAGCGTGGTTGCGGTTGGCCCTTGGACTCTTGCTTGTTCCCCCCTGCGCACGAGGTTGCGCGGCGCGGTTCACCAAAGCGAATGAATGAATGAATGAAATCGAGAAAGTGGAATGGCAGAGGCAGGTGGAGAGGATGTCGATGCTGGCCAACAAGTGGACGGTCAGGATGCCTTCACCTTTGTCGCATTTGGAATTCTGCCATTACATACCTCTACAGCGAGACAGCTTGCAGGGGGCACGCACAGGTGCTGCCGTGGATGTGGAAGCATCGCCCGGCCAGTGCGCCGCGGAGGCAGGGACAGAGGCACATTTCAGAGCTCGGGCCACATCTAACGGCCCGCTTCAACGTCCCCCGCCGTCTGCCCCACTGTCAGACATGTTAGGTTGTCATTCAGGCCGAGCCTTTGATGTTTCCCCTTCTCGCCGTCGTCGCTGTCTCATCTTGAACTTATCCGAGGTTTGGATGTAGAAGATGTAGTGGTACTTATAGGATCACGGGATTTTAGGAATACATTTATTCAAGCAACGCGAACATACATACGAGATGAAGACAAACTTGATAATCTCAATCCATTTCACTACCCTCTTGTCTGCCCAACGCTTATTCCTGCTGGGTTCTCACCTGGCCAGGTTTAGATCGGGGTTGAGCGGGCAACAAAAGCTCACATCAATGCAGAAGATGCGAGCGGGAAAAGTGCCGCAAATCTCCCCGACCGTACCTGTCAAACCCTCCGTCCGAGATCCGGTCTCGCGCCATCGAAATCACCTCCATCGAAAGCATTCAAAGGTCCTCCATTCAATTTGAACAGTTGCACCCCATATTTCTTCCCCGTCTCGGTTATCTCGTACCATTCCGGGTTCGACAGGCCCGAGGGGTCAAAGTACAATGCCTTAATCTGCGGGTGGGCGATCAACTTCTCGATGAAGGGCAAGAGACCACTATGACGTCCCGGTGCGACCGTTACCGTGTCGACGTTGGGGAACTTTTGCAGCCAGTCGATAAAAGGCTGGCCATCAAAATTGCTGTAATGCTGAGCCCAGTTGAAGTGGTGTAGTCCGAGATGGTGAACGCTCGATGACGACGTGAAAGCCCAGTCCTTCGGGGGATCGATATGGATGCGGTTATTGAACAGTGACTGGTCGCTGTTGATGGCTAATTCAAGGACCTTCAGCGAACCATTTGTGGCTGTTTCCTCCAGGGCCTTTTGTAGTATACCGGTGCGTATGGGGCCATGGCACCTGAACACCTCCAGCCGTGGCCAACCCGCCGAAGCAATGCCCGACTCAGCAGTGGTTCCTGTGAGATCAGACATGAAACCCCGATGCGGGCTCCCCAGCTCATCACATGTCGTAAAGAGATAATTGATCAGATGCTCTTTGTCGGAAAGGATCTCAACAGAGCGGAGGTTTGGTAAAGCGGGCAAACCAAAAGACCCATGGATTGTGTCGTCAAGAGAGACGTGAGTCCTCACTGAGCCGAGATACAGAGACTGCAAATTTTGCCATGGTCGTATGTCGCTCGAAGGGACCTTGTCGAAACCCATGGGGTGAAGCTCATGATCGACAAACTTAAGCCCGTAGCCTTCGATATGAAGTTCCTCAAGGTGTGGAGTCAATTTCATGAGCCCGTTCTAAGATCAAATGGTAAGCAAGTGGATGAGACAGAGGAGCCTAGGACAAGTTACTGACCATATTCAGCTCCCCGAGATGTGTCCTTGGGTCGTAGCCATCGTCCGGCATCCTCAGCCGTAGCTTTCTCAAACTCGGCCAAGGCTGTCGGGTCATGATCGCGTTGAGATCCTTCCCCAAAAAACCTTGCAGGTCTAACACTTGAAGAGATGGACTTGTGAGCGGTAGAAGCTCTCCAACTGTATGGGCATCCAGTTTTTTCAGTGATAGATGTGTTAGTTTTGTCAGGTGCTTCCCTTGCACACCCCCAAGCATTTTTGGAATATCCTCGGGACCGTCGGGGTTGCTGAGACGCATGCGTCTATGGAGGCTTAGCCGTTCCAAATTGGGTAGACCACGCATGATCATTTGAAGCTTGTCGTGAGTCATCTTGAAATATGATGTGTCGTTGATCGTCAGAGACCGGATATTCTTGTGCTTGTTGAGGAACCGTGGAAAGAGCCAACCGGGTTTCCCAGGCCTACCCAGCGAGACCTTGCTCCAGAGCACCGAGTCTGAAAGCACCAGCTTCTGCCATTTCTTGCTCACGCGTTCACATCTCCTGTAGACCACGAGGATCTGTTAGCCCCGAAAAAGGAAAACAACGTTGGCAGGGGGGGGCTTGCATTAAACTTTCGGTGTCAAGATGCGACCAGATCATGGTTAGCAGCTCATGCGGGAGCTTCTCTACAGGATCTCTCTTTGACTCGGGCATGTCTAGCATACTGGACAATTGACGCAGAAGAATCTGGCTGGCGTATCAGCTGCATGTCCGCGCGCCGAGAGTGTGTTCAGACCGCTTGGACTCACATGGTACTGATTATACTTTACCCGCCGGTACTGTTCCATGTTGTAGAGCCCGGACCTGACGAACCGGACAGTGAGATCGTGCACATCGTGGGAAGGGTCAAGTTTAGAGTCTCGCAGTATGGTAGTAAGCGCAAGAGCTGCCGTCTGGTTGTCTTTGTTCTTGGTCAAGTTGCGAAGGACTCTGGCAACACGACAATACCCCTAGAGCTGTTAGGTCTCCCACTTCGACATGAGGCTAGAGTTGGTTAAGCCACTCACTATGGGGTGGGCGGGATCCAAGCGAATGAGACCAAGGGCAGTGGAAAATGCGGCGACATGCTTTTCCTGTTTGTCCAGAGAATCGGCCAGGCCGTCGACGGCGCGGATATGGAAGAGGTCGGTACACGATGGCCATACAAAGCCGCAAGGGCATGGCTCCTTAGCAGCGCGGTAGAGAGCATCGGGGCCTTCTTCATACACAGCAGTCACGCATTGCGAGATATGACAAGCCTTGTTGTTTCCGTGGCTGCCCGGCTTACAAGGGCAAGCATTGATGGCCTGTGTAGAGAGCTGTCAGCAGAGAAAGCGAAGCCGAAGGATGGTCATTCAGTCCCTGGAAGGTGTGCAGTACGGGATGTCGACGTCATGCTTGAGACCTAGGTTCAGAGCACCAACCCGTAACGTGGATTTGTCCGGGTCACTGGAGTCTAGCCGTTTCCTGGGTGGAAGTCGGCGGAATGTATCCATCGTGTTGATGGTTGCTACCTATGCAGTGGCAGCGGAGGGGAGGAGGTGGTGTACTGGGTTGGTGTTCGGTATGATGTTCGGGTAAAGAGGTGCGGAATCTCACACGTGGTGCTGAACATGGGTGGTGGGGGGATTTATATGTTGTATTGTGTAATCCCCTCTCCTGCATGTGGAAGTGGAACGTACCTTGAGAAGGGCCCCCAAGACTTTGATACCGCCTTCTTTGGAGCGGGTTGCGGAGCGGGCTTGGTCAATAGCTGACTTTACTTGGTTTTTCCAAGAGTCATATTCAATTCCCACATAGTTCCCTTCTTGGTCGCGACGCTTAGCGGCATCTAAGTGGGATTCTTGTGGACGTGGAGGTTGCGGTCGTTTAGCAGGAGCAAGCGTCGAATTCGCGGGGCTGTCTGACGCCTTGCGCTTAAGACTGGCGCTTCGAGGTGTCTTCTTGATCAGATAGCGCTCCATCCTGGGACGGAATCAACTAAATGTTTTCGTACTCCCTTTACTGGATCATGTGAGTTGACTATGAGTTTCGTTATGGTTTTATCTAGAGCACCAGGTCATGTCCAGAGGCTGATAATGATCCATGTGGTTGTGGTGATTCTTGTAAACATCATGGTGAACTTCAAGGAAAGGAACGTGTAGGTGCCTGCAATTGGTCGGAAACTGCCGCACCCGTCCAAGCTCGGACGGAACGGGAGGACCCCCCAAACAGAGTGACGCGTGACCAGTTTTAGTGGACGCGTCCACTGGAAGGTACCGACCAGCTGGTTCGATTTGGCGGGGACCCTACAACTTCCTAATTCGCCGACCTGCATGTACCCTGACGACAGTGGGGGCACCTGAGCCCCTCGGCTTATAAGGAACGGTACCTCTAACCTTTCTTGCCCATTTCATCCATCCATCATGAAATCCGAACTTGCGTGAAGAATATTATCAACTTTATGCTTCAAAATGTGATGGCCATAGAGCATACGACCCATCGTTTCTTTGAAATTTCTATAAATTATTCAGTTCCAGCGACGTCAACCGCTCCCATAGCCGGGATCCCATCCCTACACTCGTCTCATATTTCCCGGTACCCATTGAGCTCATACACGGTACCTCATTTGGACCTCCTAGTCGTTCCGGCATCTTGGTTTTCTATATCCTCGGTTCCGACTAGTCGATCGTGTTAATCTCGCTGTCCTTTTACTCTTTGTGGTTCCAATTGTACCGCCATCTACGGAGAGTTACCCTTTGGAGACGGACGGATTAAGGGCTGATGTTAGTTACATTCACCGTTCTAAGGGATCATCATGACAAACCTTCTATGGTCTGGTTACCGCTCAGAGTCGGTTGATGACTACCCGGGAGTGCTCGTTCCACTCGGGGAGGCTCATCTACACAGCCACTCGTCCAGATCCCGCCCACCTTCTGATTTAGACGATGCTCTACTCGGTCAGGATGACGAGGGCGGCCACCGTCACAAAGACCCAGCCGACGATGAGGACACGGGAATGCTGCTTGAAATGGGGACGGAGCCTGAGTACAGCATCGAGGGCTTTAGGAGAGAGGTTCGCCGCGGAAACAAGGGCGGCGAGAAGTGGACGGATTATGAGAGTGAGATCTCGACTATCCAAGATCTATCTTACAGGACATATTAATGCTAAACTACTTTATAGTGAAATCAAAGCTCATTAACAAGGCCATTCAAGACATTGGGATGGGGAGGTACAACTGGCAGCTATTTGTCTTGTGTGGCTTTGGCTGGTTTGCAGACAAGTACGAGTTCCCCTTCTTAAGGTACAAAACAACCCGTTGTTAACGCCGGTCTCGCAGTCTATGGATGCAAGGCATCTCTCTCACCCTCCCATCACTATCGGCCGAGTTCGACATATCAGAGAAGACCGTACGCTATACCACGTCCTTCCTATTCGCCGGCCTCTGTGTTGGGAGCTTCATCTGGGGAATCGGGTCCGATGTCCTCGGTCGACGCCTCGCCTTCAATGCCACTCTCTTCATCACCGCCATCTTCGGTATCGCCTCTGCTTTTGCAACAAGTTGGGCTGGGGTTTGTTTCCTGTACGCCGCCCTTGGCTTTGGCGTTGGCGGTAACTTACCCGTTGATGGTGCCCTCTTTCTCGAATTCTTGCCCGACGCCTCCAGCTCCCTGCTAACGCTTCTCTCTATCTGGTGGCCCATCGGCCAACTCTGCTCATCGCTGCTGGCCTGGTATTTCATCGGCCACTTGCCCGCCGAGCAAGGATGGCGACACTTTGTGTTCAGCATCGGCATCATCACCTTGATTATGTTCCTCGTCCGTTTCTTCATCTTCCACCTCTACGAGTCTCCCAAGTTCCTCCTCTCACGAGGCCGGCAAGCCGAGGCAGTAGCCGTCGTGCATGGGATCGCCTACCGCAACGGCCGCAAAACCTGGCTGACCGAAGAAATCCTCGACGCTGTCGTCGACGGACTATCATCCCCATCCCCAGCCACTCCTCGCCGCCGCCAGCATGTGACGCGACAACGACTATCGACCGCCAACATCCTCAAGCAGCGCTTCGCCTCTTTCTCCGGCGACCGTCTCCGTCCGCTCTTCAGCAACCGCAAGCTCGGTCTGACCACCGCCCTCATCTGGTTCTGCTGGGCGACCATCGGCATGGGATACCCCTTATTCAACGCCTTTCTCCCTCAGTATCTATCCCACGGTGGCAACAACAGCGGGCAACCAGCACCGGAAGCGGAAACCAACAATCCAGAAGCCATCTCAGCCGAAACCTACCGCAACTACGCCATAACCTCCATCGCCGGAGTCCCCGGTAGCTTACTCGCCGCCTACGCGGTGGACAAGAAATCGCCCTTTTTGGGCCGTCGTGGAACGCTCGCCCTCTCGACGCTCGTTTCCGCCATCTTCCTCTATCTGTTCGTCAAGTTCGGCACCACGCCGGGTGCCTTGCTCACATTCTCGTGCATAGAGGCATTCGCGCAGAATATCATGTATGGCGTCTTGTATGCTTTCACGCCCGAGATCTTCCCGGCGCCGGTTCGCGGAGCGGGCACGGGCGTGGCGAGTTTCTTGAACAGGGTGACGGGCCTGGTGGCACCGATTTTGGCGGCGACGGTGCCGGGAGATGGTACGACTACGCCTGTGTATCTGTCGGCGGCGCTGATTTTGGCGGCGTTTGTGGGGATGGTGATGATTCCCATCGAGACGAGGGGGAGGCAGAGGTTGTGATGTGGTTGTGATGTGGTAGGTGGTGGAAGAGAACGTCGGGGAAATCACGAAATGAAGGTCGTAAGAACACTACCTCGAGGAATCAATAGAAGTTTTGGATAACACAAACATCAACGAAAGGCGTTATGGATATAGGGTGGTGAATGAGCATCGTCAAGGAGTTCTCTTCACCACAGTAAATGACTTTCAAATGATCATAAACTCAAAAACGGTTGGCTAATCGCTTTGCTAAAATAACCTGAAATGTGGAATCGAAAAGAAAGCCCAACTAAAATCTGCCCCGACATCACCAACTCTGTCTCACTTCGTCCCCCTCGCTCCAGCCGGCGCATCCACCCTCCTCCTCTGCAACCCCCTCCCCAACGCATCCCTAACCATGGGATCATTCCTAATCGTATTCTGCACCAACCACTCCTTGATCTTCCCCCTCATACTGCTCAGCGCCTCCTGATCCCCCGCAAACGGCGCAATCCCCAGCTCCACCAGCCTCGTTGTATCCAGATCCAACCCTTTGCTCATCATCTCCAGCCTCTCCAGCCCTTGCTTCAGCAGCTCCTCCTGATCGCCGCCTCCCGCCCCATTATTCTTCGCAACCAGTTGCCCACTCGACGTATCCGCCGTCAACAACGGGCCAATCTGCGAGATAGCAATATACACCGTGACGCTAACCTTCCTCATCAGCGCCACCGCCTGGAACGGCAAGTAATACCTGCCCATCACACCCGTCACCCGTTGTAGCAATGGGTTCAGGAAGTGCTCAAACACCGCCGGCCGCCCGGGGCTCATGACCGTGTGCGCCTCCCACACAAACATGCTCGCCAGCACCAGCCACCGCTCGTACCGGCCCCACGTCAGGTATCCCAGCAGGCCCAAGCCGTACAGCACCGCGGCCGCGAGGCCGTAGTAGGACAACAACATCTGGGCGCCGCGCATGACGAAGTCGCGGTGGGTTTTGCATCCTCCCTTGCCATTCCCGTTGGGCCCGGCCCAGGCGACGGCGTCGACGCCGAACCGCTCGTACGCAAATCGGCGCACGGGGTCCGTGAGCGTGTCCACGGCTGTTTTTAGGTGTACGAAGTAATTGTTTACCTCCTCTTGGCTTTGTTGTCCTTGTCCTGTAACCACTTTGTCGGGGTGGTAGAGGGCGGCCAGCCGGCGGAACCGGCTCTTTATCTCGCGCTCGCTCGCGTCGGGGCTGACGCCTAGGTCGCCGTAGAAGTTGGAGCCGCGCACGACGAGCTCGTAGTGGGCTTCGTAGATGGTGTAGAGGAGGTAGACGGTCACGACGAGGATGTGGATGCGTCGGCGGTGTTCGGCGTATCGAGGGGTCCCGGGCATGGGGCGCGGCGAGCCGGCGCGGATGGTGATGCCGTAGTAGAGCGATTGGACCCAGCCGGTGACGAGATTGGGCAGGAATGTCCAGCCGAAGAGGGAGAGGAGGTCGGACATTTTGCTGTTCGATGTCGTGTGTAGGTAATTCGGCAATGACGTTTAGCTCGCTCGATCGGTTGTTGGGCTAATTGTCCACGCGCGCGGGTCGTAGTGTTTCTAAGTCGTGGAGGGATGTTTGGCTCTTTGTCACCTGGACATTGCAAGATAAGGTACGAATGCGACAGAACCTGAAACTGTGAGAATGGGATCACGTCCTGTCCAGAAGACACAAAGAACGTAGGAAATTGGCTGGATAGAAAGAAGAGCGGCAGCAGATGCAGGGAGCTCTCGTAGGTTGCAATCTGGCCAGGCTGCAAAGGGCCAGTTGTTTGTATTTTGGTGGTGCTTTTTAGTGGTGTTTAGCGCTAAACAATGAAAGTCAAGTTGGTCTCATCCCTCCACATGCGCTGCAAGGCTGACCGAGTTACAAGGGCCTCCCTTGCGTCATATAACCGGGCTCCCGCGGCAGGCAGACCGGCTATTAACCGGCAAACTCGGCTATCTGATTTGATCGGTCTTTTTTAACCGGCCGGCAACTGCAACATTCACATGTCGGCCCTTCCTTCAAGCAGCAGGCAGCGTCATCGCTCAAGAGCATCCAACAAGTTTGAGAAGATGGAGAAACCACAAATCAATTCATAAACTCATAACGCAACGACCCTCGCGGGTGTTCCAGAAAAATGAAAACCGGTGACCGAAGTGACAAATACAGTAATCCATAACATACACAACTATCGTTCCTCGTTCCTTCTTCTTGTTCTTCTTTGCTGTTCCAAGTCTTCGTATAGCGCGTGCGATCTTCACCATCACCACCGCTGTCGTCCCCTTTCATCATTAAACACTAAGCAGAGGTAGATGTTCGCCTCACCATTATCATCAAACCAATATGCCGATTATTAAACCACAGTAGCCACCCCCTGAATCCGAAAATAGTCAAAACACTAGGTGTCAGGCCTTTAACTGCTGCCAAAGAAGCGCCTGACGGCAGCCCTAAAGCCAGTTTTCTTGCCTTCCTTCACTTCTTTCCTTCGCTCTTCCCTCTTTTGGCGGTGAGCGGCGGCCTGTGTTGGTGACTGAGGCTCCGGACCGCCAGCCGACGAAGTGGGGGACACAGCTTCTCCAGACCCGTCCGATGCAGTGGATGACTGCTTCTTGGACTTGAAGACGGACGAGATGGAGCTCTTCTTGCTGTGTCCGCGCTCCGTGCCCGATCTCCGCAGTCTTGTTGTGCTAGACCGCCCAAGCTCCGGTGAAGAGGATCCCTGTTGAACAATGGTCGGGTCCGATACGGTCTCAACGTTCTTGACGTGAGCGTACTTCTTCCTGGCGGTGGGTGATGGAGGCTCGACATCCTTCCCCTTTCCTTTCACATCAGCCTCGGAAGGCACTCCTGAGAGACCAAGGGCGTTGGTTTCCGGCTTATCAGCTGTGGCAGTGGCAGCTGGGCTTGAAGAATCGGCTGTGGCGTAGACGACTACTGCTGCTGCGACCATCTCCTCTGCTTGCTTAATGGTGTTCTTGTCCTGCCCCCGCTCATTGCGGGAGCAGCTCACTTCCTGAGCCACAGGATCGTCAAGACCAGGGACAACGACAGCAGATGTGGGTACACGCTGGTCCACCGAGACTTGGTTGGTTGTCCTGTCTTCTGTTGGGAGCCTTTGGGGATTAAGAGCGTTATCAGTCTGTGTTCCTTCCTGGTCAACGGACTGGATTGTTTTTTCCTCACCATCTTCAGAAGAAGCTCCCTTCTTTCCATCGATTTTTGCAGCTTCTTCTTCAGCTGGTGCTTCCTTCTCCACGACGTAGAAGGATTCGGAGAGCGGCACCGTCTCATCAACGATCTCGGGTGCTTCAGCCTCTACTGACGAAGTCGGCTTGACATCCTCAGCGACAGCCTGGGGAGACTTGGGCTCGGGCTTGGGACGCTCAGCAACGAGTGAGCCAGCCTCAGTTGAACCGTGAGCCACGGAACGCTCGAGGGTGGCGACCTTTGGTGCAGAATCCGAGATGATGGGCTTGGCGACTTCGGTAACCTTCTCCGTGACGGGCTTGGAGACCTCGGTGACCTTGTCGGCAACCGCAACAGCGGCGGCTCCCAGAGCACCAGCAACAGCAATGCCCGCACCGATGGCAATCTCCGTGGCATTGGACTTGCTCTCGTCGGTGTCCTTCTTCTCGGAGTCCTCGGCAGCCTTTGTGACGGACGCGTCGTCAAGAGCGGACTCGGGCTTGTCGGTAGCTTCCTCTTGAGTCTCCGCCACCGGAGCCTCCTCAACAGCCTGTTGAACGCTAGCAGGTTCCTCATGGCTGACGGCGTCCGTGGGTACTTGGACGCTGTCATTGGATGATTCCCCTTCAATGGCAGTCTTGTCCTCACCTGTAGTCTGCTCTTCGGCAACCACCTCCTTGACATCATCATGCACGGGTGCAGCAACTGTGTCTTGGATCTTGGCCTCGCTCGACTCATCAACCGGCAATACTGCCTTTGACTCACCGACAGTTTCCTCAACTGGAGTTTGCTTCTCGTCGTGATCCTCAGCCTTGGCAGTGACGGGCTCAGACGCCTCGACCTGGGCGATATCGGTAGCCTTGACTTCGGGAGTAGATTCTGCGACCTGAGAGACCGGCTCAGCCACAGTCTCAACAGGCTCAGCAGCATCGGCGACGCTCTTGGTGGCGGATTCGGTGATAACAGGCTCGATAGCCTCGGTGGCGGGCTCGGCGGCAATCTCGGTAGGCTCGACAGTAGGCTCAGAAACAGCCTCTACGGCGGGCTCAGGGGCCGTCTCAGGAATAGAGGCAGTGGCAGTCTCGGTGGCGCTTTCGATGGAAGGTTCGGCCGCAGTCTCTTGAACAGGCTCCTCCTTCGCGGTTTCGGCAGCAACTTCCTGCTGCTCGGGCTTGACCTCCTCAGACTTGACCTCCTCGACGATTGGGGTCGCCTCGACGGGCTTGGTTTCTTCGACAGCCTTGGGCGCCTCGGTAGCGGGGGTCTCCTCGACAATAGGGGCCTCTTCGACGACGGAGGTCTCGACAGCGGGGGTCTCCTCAACGGCCTGAGGCTCCTCGACAGTCTTGGGCTCCTCAGCAAGAGGGGTCTCCTCGACGGTCTTGGACTCTTCAACAGCAGAGGTCTCAACGGCCTCGACCTCCTCAGCGGCAGTGACTTGAGGCTCCTCGACAGTCTTGGGCTCCTCAACAGCAGGGGCCTGCTCGGAAGCCTCGACCTTCTCAGCAGCGGGGGTCTCCTCAACGGACTGAGGCTCCTCGACAGTCTTGGGCTCCTCAACAGCAGGGGCCTGCTCGGAAGCCTCGATCTCCTCAGCAGCGGGGGTCTCCTCCACAGCCTCGACTTCCTCGACGACAGTCTTGGGTTCCTCAGCGGCGGAGGCCTCCTCAACGGCCTGAGGCTCCTCGACGGTCTTGGGCTCCTCGGTCACCTTGGACTCCTCGACAACGGGTGTCTCTTCAGCAGCCTTGGTCTCCTCCACAGCCTTGACTTCCTCGACGACGGGGGTCTGCTCAACCTCAGCGGTCTTAGACTCCTCGACAACGGGGGTTTCGGAAACAGCCTCGGGAACGGCAACATCTTCAGAGACAGGCTTCTCGGCGGCAGCAGGCTCAGGGGACTTCTCCTCGACGTCCTCCGCCTCGACAGGCTTCTCGCTTTCGACAGATTCCTCAACCTTAGCCTCGGTCTCCTCCTGGACAACGGGCGCCTCGGGCTTCTCTTCGGGAACCTCAGTCTTTTCCTCGGCAGCAGGGGCCTCGACCTTCTCCTGTACCTCAGCCTCCTGCTCAACAGGGGCCTCAGCGACGGGAGCCTCAGATTCCTCTTCCTTGGCGGGAGTTTCAGGCTTCTCCTCCTGAGCTTCAGTCTCGGTTTCGGGAGCAGATGTCTCGACCGTCTCCTCAGAAGCAGGAGCCTCGACTTCCTCGACAGCAGGAGCCTCGACTTCCTCGACAGCAGGAGCCTCGACTTCCTCGACAGCAGGAGCCTCGACTTCCTCGACAGCAGGAGCCTCGACTTCCTCGACAGCAGGAGCCTCGACTTCCTCGACAGCAGGAGCCTCGACTTCCTCGACAGCAGGAGCCTCAACCTTCTCCTCGTGAGCAGGGGTTTCAACCTCCTCAGCAGCAGGAGCTTCAATCTTCTCCTCCTCGACGTTGGTCTCCTCGGGAGCAGAAGGCTCGACTTCCTCAACAGGAGTTTCGGTCTTCTCCTCCTCGACGTTGGTCTCCTCAACAGATGCCTGGGTCTCTTCAGAAACAGGGGCAGCAGTCTCCTTAACCTCTTCAGTCGTCTCGGGAAGTTGAAAGAAAATGTGAGAGAGACCACCCTTGCTTTGGACGGGGACCTCAGGGACCTTGACATCCTCCTTGACCTCGGCCTGGACTTCGCAAGTCTCAACACTCTCGACTGGCGTGCTGTCAACTTCCGGCACCTTCGTCTCCTCGACAATCTGAACCTTGGTATCGACTGGTTCGGCGCTTTTAAGGACCTCCTCGGTCTCGGGAACGACTTCGGAGGCGGGCTCGGGGGTGACCTCAGTGGCCTCAGGTACAACAACCTCGGGAGCAGGCGAGTCTTCCTCCTTCAACTCAGCAACCTCGGCGTATGTCGGAGTGGATTCATCCTGGGCGGTTGTTGTGGTGGTGGTGGTCTCTTCCTCGGGCTGGGAAGGAACTTCCTCTTCGGTGCTCACGGGTTCAGGGACGGCCACAGGAGCCTCCTCGGTTGTCGTCGCCGGTGTCTCTTCAGTCGATTCTGGCGCAGGGGCTTCCTGGGGCTCGGACTCGTCGACCTGGGCCTCGGCAACGGGCTGCTCGACCTCCTTTACTTCCACGGCCTCAGGCTCCGGCGCGGGCTCACTCGGTTGGCTGACCTCCTCGGACTGCTGTTCTTGCTGTTGCTGCTCCTCGACGACGGGCTTGACCTCTGGTGTCTGCTCGGCGGTCTCTGTTTGCGCAGGCTGCTCTCCTAGGATAGAAGCAATAGATGCCGAGAGGTCCTTGCTGGTCTTGGACTTGGACTTCTTCTTCTTCTTTTTCTTCTTCTTTTCGCCGTCGTTCGGGGCGCCGCTATCCTCGTGCTCCTCAGGGGCAGCCTCAGACTCTGTTACGGGCTGAGATTCGGCCTCGGCCAGCGCCAGAGCCCTAGCAGCGGCCTTCTTCGCCTTCTCCTTTTCCCTCTTCTTGGCGTTCTTCTTGGCATTCTTAGAGGCGGCAGAAGCTCCTGGAGAGCCTGGAGAGGTGGGAGACATGGGCGAGCTCAAGTCATCGTCTATAGCAGCGATCAGTATGACTGAGACGCTACGGATGCAGCTCGGCCATGTAGACAGCACTTACCAGAGTTGTGGTTGGCACCATTTTGTGTCACCTCAGATTGTGCCTTGTCGGAAGAAGTCACGACGGAGAGGGCCTG